GAACCCTCTATGCCCAAACCTTACACCAAGCTAGCAGAACCTACTTTTTGCAGGTTCTGATTATGAGCCCTCATATGGAACTTACAGGACCCTAACAAAAATGTTGGTTTTGGTAGGTGGGGGTATAGCCCCTCACCCTAAGCCTTCAAGGATCAAGTCGTCATCGCCTCGCCGGCGCCGGCGGGCCGAGTTTTCGCCGAGGCGGCTGCGCAGGCCTTCGTTTTGCGGTAAAGGGACCAAAGACTCAACTAACCGAAGAACAGGAATCAGCACCTACGTCAGCAAGTATACTATTGAGCGCAAAAAACAGCATTGTAGCAGTAGCAGTAGTAGTCGTAGTCTTAGTGGTAGTCGTTGTGGTGCTAGCGGTAGTGGTAGTGGCAAAAGCAGCAGTACTAGCGAGAATAACCCTTCAAAATGAAGCTAGGTCCTAGATTTCGCACATGAGAGTCGGAATGGTTGGGGATTCATGACGCTTACAATGTAGGAACTTGGATTGAGCCCTGCCTTGGTATCACAGTGTGCTCTGCTGCTAGGAACGTGATCTGTCACAGCGGCAAGAACTGGACCAAGAGTTTTGTTCATCCTCATCCTCGGACCCTTCTCCTCACTAGCATCAGCATCCGAAGCACCTTAGCCTTACTCTCAATTCCCCCTCGTCATCAGTCGTCAGTAGCCAGCAGGCCCTGGATCCAAATCCGTTGGCGCAGCTGCCCGAACCCACTTCTCCCAGTTCTCCCAGCTTCGTGGCAGCAGAGCACACCTCGCAGGGATCGCCAGGATTCGGAGTAAGTTGGGAACACCTTCGGGCGAGAAGTGATAAGCGGCCTTTTGCTGGTTCTCCTGTTCCTGATCGTAGCCCTGATTGAAGGTGTTGGGGTGGACTTCGTGCTTGAGCTCGGGGTTCAGGATTCTAAGTAAGTTCCAGGTGGCCAGGATTTCGGAGATGGGCATAGTGGCTTGAACTTGAGATTTTGAGTTTCGGGTGCATTCCAGGTTTCGTGGCTTATCATTTTAGGGTTAGGGCGGCTGTTAACCCAGGGTGTGCCAGTCATAAGGCACGGCTTGACCCACGTGCACTTGGTGGAAGGCCCCTCCTCCAAATAAAGCTGTATCCTTTGTGGTTTGTCTCTCGAGATCGAATGGCACTGCCAGGTTTCTCCTGCTGTTCCTTCGTGTGCTCCGTATCGCCTGCGGCCATAAAATCTGCACCGGCCGTCCCCTAGCCACTTTGTGGTGATAAAGATAAAGTCGTTTCCATAACGAAGCACGGGAAATTTCCGGGGGCTTCCTCCCCAAATTTTTGGATTTCAGGGACAAGGGTACAGGCTCAGGGGTTCATAAGAGCAGCAGCCACCACGAGCAATCGTAGGCGCTCTAATGGCACACGCGGCAGCTAGAACCACATGAATAAGGTATATATATATATATATATATATATATATATGCACACCGTTCCTACGAGATATATAAATAGACAGAGAGAGAGATAGGGAGACTTCGGCTGGCTTCAGGGTTTAGGGTGGTGAAGAGTAAATGCTCGGGGCCCTTAAGTTTGCTCAGGTGGCCCTTCCTGGCTCTTCGAGACCAACCACGGATTCCGCCCTTTTTTTCAGGAGCTGCGTTTTGCAAGGGTTGTAAGAGGATGCTTTAATGCCCGTAGCTCAAATCCAAAACTATGACCCCTGCATATATCCCGCCCAAAGTCGATGACTCGTAAGACTCTCGAACCCTGACTTGCCTGAACCCACGACTCCCCAGACTTTTCGGACCCTAAGCTCCGGTCATTCTGATGCCCTCAAGCCCAAGCCAGCGCAGTCACCCGATTCGTACGGGTGTAAGCCACATATACTGTACCCGGGATTCAAGAATTAACAGCAAGATCCACTTTATAGTCCCCATGTACCTACGTAGACTATACTGTTTCTGCTCCAAACCGTTAATTTTCACTGTATTCTTCCAGGATTGCCAAGTCGTCCTCGAGCAGAAATACAAGCAGTTTCGAAGCGGAGGCAGTGCTTGGGCCAGCCATGTGTAAGCTCTCTTAGCAGCTCGGTTTAGGATCTGATGCTTCGGCTTTGGGATTGATGGTTCATTCAGTGTTTTTGATCTATGGATTCGACTTTAGGGTTTGAGGGTTTAGGGTTTCTGATCTAACGTTTCGGTTTCAGGCTTCAGGGATGAGGTGTAGGTTCTGAGCACTTAGGCTGTGGGATGTTACAATGTTCGGCCTCCCGGCAAGCTCGGTGGACTTGGCAAGTATGCTCATGGAGCCACCTGGTGATGTGCACTGCGGCTATAGAGGATTTCAGTAGATTGACTTCAGTTTCATGCCTGCGAGTTTAGGGTAGTAGACATAGAAACCCACGGAAGTTCCCAGTGAATCTGTCATTCATTGGCCCATCTGGGTGGTCGGAATGGGACTCCGGGCGGTGTCTCGGAACTGGTCGTATGTTTGCAAGAAGTACGTCTTCTGCCATGCAATGGCGATGATTAGGAAGATGTAAGAAGAAAGACACGCACCTGTCTGCGTACTTGCACGTCAACAGACCAACCTACAGAAGCATGGAGAACCCAATGCATGACGAATGCCTGTTTGCTGTCATGCGTTGTTTCTCCTTGTACATGCGTGTACGTAAGTATATAATGTGGGGCCTGATGTGTTCCTTTGGCTTTGCACATGATGAAGCAAAGCTTCAAACCAAAGGCCAAAGATGCGAGTTCGGCGGTGTTGAGGCACAGCTAGTCAGGGCATCCAGTCACATGCTTACAGACTCGAGGCCCTGCACAAGTATGGATCACCTCCGCCGGGAAAAACATCAAAGTCGACTTTCAGCATCTTGGAGGATCTATGGCCGTTGATCCCTAAACCCTCTAACGGAAATGCACAAGACTCATTCAGCAAACTGAGGGAGCCATACGGCGGCCTTGCTGCAGGGTACCTGTTCATAAGCACTGTTTGGGGGCACCCTTGAACAGCAGCCTAGCTGTAAGGCTTGCAAAACCCTGCAGGTGCAGGAATGAGAGGGTTTAGGGCCTAGAGGGGACTATGACCCGGTAAACTGTGGTGCCACGGACAAACCTTAAAGCCTGAAAACCCTAATCCAGAAATCCAAACCCACAAGCCCAAGAATCCTTAACCGTTAGGGTTTAGGACGCTGGCTTCAGGATTTGGGGGCGAACCCGACATCCAAAGGCGAAAGGCCGCACATTCGGAGGTTCAGGAAAACAGGACCCCTGAGGGTTTAGAAACCATGAATACAGCTTTCGGGTTTAGGGTTTCGTTTCGTGGTGGAATAGAGGTCTTTTCTGGTGGCTTTGTAGGGCTTCTTCGACGCCTTATAGTAAGGTTACCGGGCTTCAGCGCCGAAACCTCATTGAGAAGCCGATGGATATGTAGTTGCGAGCCAATCATCTCCTCCTAGCTAGTTGTACTTGGCGGGCTCAAAAAGACTCGCAACTCGGTGGTTGCAAGTACAGCCCCTAAACTCTATAGATGCTGAACCCGAAAAGGACCCTTAGGCCTCTGAACATCGGATGTAGGGTTTCGGCCTCGGGGCTTTAGGGGGTTTAGGGTTTGGGGGGCTCGGATCTGCAGGCCACTGCCCCTGCCCAAAGACTAAAGATCTTCCGTCTGCTTTCATGGATTTGGAGGACTTATGAGCTTGATGGCAGTGTGCTCGCCGCACCGTGCAGCAGCACCGTTCTGGGATACCCAACGCAGGGCATGGTTTGGGGTTCAGGGGAAGGACCTTTAAATGAGGGATGGTTCGTGAATGTGAATATAGGAAGCTCCCACATCCGAGGTTTCAAGGGGCTCTGAACCATACCGCACCCCTCCCGGAATAATGGACTTAACATTAACAAGCAGACCCTAGTAGATGAGTATGTTCCCTAGGGTCATAGGGTTAAGAGCTTGTCCATGCATATTTGCAGATTCTGGGCCTTTGTTTTGACGGTGTTGGGTTTAGGCTTTAAGTGGTTTTGGCTATACAGGCTATGGGATTTCATGTCTAGTGCTGTTTAAGGTTCTTGAGTTTTGGGGAGTCTTTTGGACCCCAGCACCTGAGGCACATGGCCCAAGTGGTGGAGGGCTCCACACGCACACGAGCAGTTCAGCGTATGGAGTGATGTTGCAGATGGCGTCGAAAAGATCCAACGAGGGTTCTTGATGGGTTCCTTCCGGGTTCTTTTGAGGGTTCTTCAAGGGCTCGTTCGGGCAGTTGCTGTTGTTGCATCAGGGTATTGCGCCAGGGTTTTGTTCCGGAGGGCTTGGGATGTGAAAGCATCAGGCTTATAGGACTTTAGCCCTTTAGTCCCCCAGATGTTCTTATCTGGACCTCCCTGGAGCCCAAAAATCCGAATCCCCACCGTCTTCTTGGAAAGCGTCCCCAGTGTTTCCTTCAACCTTTTACCCGGAGGCTCATATTTCAGTTCTCACAGGGCCCAAAGCCCTTTCTCTTTTGGCACTTCGGGGTTTAGGATCCCGACATGATCGCATTGCGGTTCGGCCCAAGTGCGGCTCGAGAGCCCACTGAGGTAAGAGGCTGCGGGAGTCTAGAGTTTCCTGTCGATAGAGGTATTAAAGCTGATTGAGTGTAATGTCAAAGGGGATTGGAATTTTGCGTTTCCGATTGTGGCTAGGCTTAGACCCTGATTTGTAGCTTGTTTCGGAGAGTTTGAGTATATACAGAAATCTAAAGGCTTTGTGTGCAGTGAAGTCCCCTGCGCAAGCCGGCCGGCAAAAGAGCACCGGAGCCTAAGCACTGAAACGCCAGACTTTCTCAAATTGTCTAACTTTGCCCCCAGCCCTAAACCTACAGCATAGTCTATAGTACAATGGGTTGCGACCACTTATATTTATACAGGATACAATAGCCAGAACCCAGAGAATCGCAGTGCAGTCCGGAAGCGAAGCGGCAAAGCAAGACAGTACCAGAAGAACAAACGCAGAATCCCTCTCGCAGTCTCCACGAGCTCGCGCTTTGAGTTCCGCCACAATGCAGTCCTCCGGCCCACCTCCGGCGAAATCTGACGCGCCTGCAGCGGCGCAGGCCCTGGTAGAGGAGGGCCGGAAAGTCCCTTCGCAGCCCTTACGAGGTTGAGGCCTCTCCGTAAAATCGAGGCGTCTTAATAATTGGTTCTCTTCTTCATAAGTACTACTTTGCTGCTATGTCATAAGATCCATAAGGGCACGAATCTACCCAAGACCCCTCTTCGAATCATCCTCTATTTGGGGCGACTATTGAGGTAGGGTTTCGGGCTCATTTTCCACGCCCTGAGCACTCCAGGATCCTTCAAGCCCCGCACACTCTGAAAAGGTACCCGGAAGACTGCTGGAAATAAGGGTTCGGGCTTAGGGTTATAGGGGCTGAGGGCAACTATCCCTTCAACTATATCATAAGGTATCCCCAACACCCATTCTCATTATGGAGGCTCCTCTCTTCCATGGGTGGTTCCCTAAATTAGAGCTCCTTTCGGCATTCCCAAAACAGACACGCTACCTCAAACCTCATCACTCAAGGCCACCACTTTAAAGCCGTAGGCCTTAAAGAATTCGCAGCCGAAACCCCTAACATAGAGTAGTTCTGATTACCTGTAGTACCATAGTTCCCCTTCTAGTCCCTACAATATTACGAAATGAATAGTAGGGAGTATCGTAAATAATATAGTAAGATCCTGAGTTTGCTCCATATCATAAAATTCCCATGAGCTGCAGGATCCTTATGAAGTAAGGCGGGGAAGGAAGGGATTTAAGCCTCCCCCTCACAAAAATATGAAGCAGCGCTTGGGTGCCCGAGGAACCTGATGAATCTACGGCCTTGTTGAAGGACCGTAGAGGGTTTTTTCTGCTTAATTCGCAGAGCGGGTCACAATTGGTGTCGGGGTTCGCTGGTCTTTCAATCGTTCGGCGTTTCAATATGAGTTTCTGGATTTGGGTTCGCAGAGTTTAAAATAAAGTTCTGGGTTGTCTTGAGGATTGGCGGATGCTTAACTGTTTGTCGGCGCATTGAAGTTACCGCGTTAGATGGGTTATAACCGGGTTAGGGTGCTTCTATGGGCGGGGGTTTTCTCTCACGGCGCTTCAGGTTGCCTGTTTTGATATGTATGGGTGCTTTGGAGGCGACGTTTTGTTGACGGCTGCTGGGCGGTGGGGGTGTTAATTTCGAACGGGGCTTCATTTAATATTGAGGTGTTCAATTGGCAGTATAGGGTTTCGCATGCCATCGGGACTAATAGGGCACAGGGCGCAGGGCGATTTGGCTGGAATTTCGGGCGTAGAGTTTTGTTGATTTTCAGGGTTCAGGGTTTAGCGCGGTTGAGGTTTAGTTGTGCGTAGTGCTTAAAAGGCCGTAGGTGTGTGTGATCCTGTTTGAGGATCAAGGGTCTCTGGGCGGAGGGTTTTAGATGTCAGTTCAGGATGTAGGGTCTCTCGGGGTGGTCAGACTTCGAACCAAAGTGTCACGGCCAAGGTGTTGTAAGCCAATCCGTTTTGAACTAAAAAAGCAGACCTTTTCGACAGGGTCCCTGTAGATTCTATATTAAGCTACATACTTAGAGCCTACGAGAAGTGGTTGTGGTAGTTTACGGACTTACAAAAGCTGCAAAAACCCGAGCGCAGAACCTTGCACCCTGAAGTCTTCGCTTACAACAATCGAACTCCTAATCCCGAACCCTTAAACTCACCTTAAACTACATTTTTACTGCAGGCTGTTACTATATACTCCTCGATTGAAACACCCAAGCGCAGCACCGTTCAACAGAGCCCTTATAGGCCTCATTGCGGGCATGGAGTTATAGTAAAGATCATTAGCGGACCTGGGGCCTAAGCCCCAAGCAGTCAACCCCAAAATGCTCAATCCCTGCAGGGAGACACTCGCAGCACTTGCCTGCCTTCCTTTCTCGTCTGCAACTTCACCGCGAACTTAGAGAGATACTTCGGCTGGAGGCGCCCTGCTGCAGCCTGCTTCTAATACAAGCGTCGGAGTATCTTGTAATGGTATACCGTTCTCGTCCCTAGAAAGTTTTGCCGATAGTATACTGTTTTAACAATTCAGGCCCTTGTAAGCTATAAACAAACCCTTGGAGTGGCCCTTATAGGAACCCTTTTACGGAACCAAAGATTAAGGTGTCGGCTTTCGGGCTGGGTCCCGCGGCTGGGTTTTGTCAACGATCCGCCCTGAGACTTTTGCATCAAAGTTTTTCGGGTTGGAGCTTTAGGGTTTCAGGGCTTCGAGTGCAGAATTTTAGGGCACTGTCCAAGCATACGTCCGCAAACTACGTACAATGAGGCCCATACCAAGACGCAAATCCCTAAAGGCAGAATGCCTCAAATCCTTGGAGCTTGCCAAAAACGTCACCAACAAAAAGCATTGTGAGCCGCAGTTCCAGACAACAGACGACGTTGAGGCTCCTCTTCATGCTTTGGGTGAGCCAGCACCTGATGAAGGGCTTCACCTTGAGCTTGCTGCAGCTTGGCGTGTTTAGATGTTGCATAGGGTGAGCCTAGTATAGAAGACTACATAGCCTAGCTAGTTCTACTATACCCTTTCCACCTTCGGGTTCGAGTAATTACGGCCTCTATAATCGGGCATGTGGAGGATTCATTGGGAGGCCTGAAGGGCGACCCATCATAGGAAGAAGAGCCAATCATAATTGGGCGCTGTCTTCGGCTTCGTAGTGGCATGATCGAATCTGTAAGGCTTTCGAGATTGCATGACAACAGACATACCTCTCAAATTCGGAGGTCCTGATGAAAGAGTCACAGGCCGTCTGTTGTTTTGGTTTGTTCCTGGAGATCCGGAGTTTGGGGTGCACAGATAATGCAGCCTCATGTCGTTTGTAATAATATGCTGTAATATGGTACTTTCTAGTATGGTACTATGCAGTGTTGATGCAGTTAGCTTCAGCATCTCACTATCAAGAACCTGTTCGGGGTCGGAGTCGCGACAACCGCAAGCAGAGCAAAGACGATACGCGGCCGTGATAAGTCCACACGTCGCATGAGCCTTCGACTCATGCCTGCAGATGCACTTTCAAGCCTGATATCTGAGCCCCATCACAGCCTTCTCATAAGCCACCCTAACCCCGAAGCCACCTCCGAAGCGCTGCACTTTCTGAAATCATCCAAAGCTCTGGAACCCCATGAAGATAAACCACAAGCTCAAAGCTCCAGACCCATGTAGTAGCTGTATAGAGAGTGTGTAAAAGGATCCTGAGATATACAAGTCCCGACCCCAAACCCTTTACATGGTAGCCACTTTGTCATATATTAGTAGAACCCCCAAAAGGAGCCCTAGACCTTAAACTTCCCCAAACCCTATAAAGCCCTAAACCTTCACGTCGTCCAAAAAAGTCGTCCAAAGCTCGAGGAACAAGGCGATGCCCTACTTCTTCCGGCACTACAAAGTGGCTGCCCCTCAGGCAGGTGCTTTCAGAAAACTCAGCCCTTGTAGACCCTAAACCCTGACGTCTGCCTGCCTGCCAGACGTTAGGGGCTTTTGGGTGAGTCCGTGGGTTTTGGGTTCAGAGTTCATGCGACTAGGTTGATGCTATATTCAGGGCTTTGCTGCATTGCTATAGGTTTGTGTGGGACTTCATTAGTCATTAGTTCTCGCCTACGAAGACCCACCCGAATCCGCTGCAAATGCTGCTCATGATGCTGGCCCACGTTTCGTTTGGTCGAAGCTTCAGTTCTCAGTCCGGTAGATGCAGCGGTTTTGCTTTACACCCCAAACCTCCATACAACCCTCAAGCCTCAGCCCTGAATCGAAAACGGACACCGGCTTTTGTCATTGTAGCTGCGGAGTTGGGCTGGGTCTTCGGATTCATGCGCGACGTGTGCGATGTCGGTTTTCGGTTAGGACGTTTATAGAGTATACATTAAATTGATGATGATCTTTTTTCGACAGTTTTTGTGGCCCTGACGCTACTACCACCTGGATTTTGATGCTGCAGGTTCAGACCTTTCCCAAAACCCAACTTGCTTTGCAAACCCTGGGCCCTACACTCCCCTTGGCAAGATGACGTACACCGCTGAGTAGTAATACACCCCTATCTTTACTGACCCCAGTCCTGGGATCCCGATTATGATACGTCTAAAAGGGGAAAGGCTGCTTGGTCCAATCAGGAGTCTATGGTGCCTTACATGCTTCAGGGCTTGAGGCGGGTACGAAATGACGGCGTGGGCTTCGGGGTTATGGTTTGCGAGTTGTGGGTTTTAGGACCTCGGACTTAAGACTTTCGGGGCTCGGAGATCAAGCGAAACGTTGAACCTTCTACCCGAAGGCGTAATCCTACATATTCTTCAAGCCTTAACCCCAAACAACTACAAATCACAAACCCAAAACAGGCACCTAAGCCAACCCTGAAAAATCCGAAGCCCGACAAGAAGCCTCATCAATTCGAAACCCTACACTAAACCCTAAACCCTAAACCCGCTAAACCCTTCTTAGAAGCTGCAAACTGCTGCCTCTTGGAAAAAGGAGCTAAAACAAACTCGGCCTAGAAACCGACTTCCTTGTGTCCGGATGCACAGGTGCAGATCTTTACGGGCGTGGTGACCCTGCCTTGGGCCATGACCCTCGGTGCAGAATCGGCTTTGTAGACGTTATGCTATTTATCTATCTATCTATCTACCTATCTATCTATCTATCTATATATGTATACAATTGTATACCCACACACATATATACATATATATATATATATATATATATACATATGTATGCGGTCTATGTGTATATATATATATATATATGTATATGTTATATGTGTATGTAGTATAAAAGCATCACATGTACATGTATATAACCGGTATATGCTTTATGAGCTAAATATATGTCTGTATATATAAATGACGAGATATGCTCTCTTACTTCCTGGGTCACTCACTTGAGCCTTGTATCTATAGTGCTCTACAGGAAGCAAGTACAAAACAGCAGCAACAATCAATAGGACTATTGCTAACCAACAGTATAACGATAGTGTGAATGTTTAGAAGAACGGTAATACTGTAACATTTTAATATATATATATATATATACATATATATATATATATATAATCAGTTATGCTTGTAACTGCCGGAAGAAAAAAGCGTTTGGGCCGTCGGCTGAAAGATTTGCTTCCAGCGCCTCGCTTTCCTTGGGTTCGAAATGTCTGACGGCCCAAACTCTGAGAACTTTTGAAACCCAAAACCCTAAAACGCATAAAAGCCCCATGAAAACTATAAAGCTTGGGCCCCAAACCCTAAAGTCTTGGGTTCAGGTTTCAGGTATGATGACATAGGGGAGCTTAGTTTTTGTTGTTTCAGGCTTCGGGCCTTGAGAGCAGCCCTAACTTCCCTAGCAGCTCCCGTTCGCTTTACATCTTCTGCAAGACGAACTAGTCACATGTTCGCTTTAGGGTTTGAGGTTTAGAGTTTACTAGGGGTTTGGGGCTTCAGGGTTTCGGTTTCAGGTTTGGGGTTTGGAGGCATGAGGTGCGGTAAAGAAGTGGATTCTGCTCGGAGGACCCAGCGACTAAGCCTTGCTGGGCCCACCTCAAACACTACTTCTGAAGGGCTAGGGTTTAGGTTTTAGGGTTTAAGGATCCGTTCAATCAGGGCTCTAAGCCCTAAAACCCAAGCCCCAGGTCCATCTAGAAGCTAGCCCCAAATTTGAAGGAAGCCGATCGTGGGCCTCACCAGCGACGTTTGCCCTATCTTCGGATACCACAAGGCTCAGAAGGGTTTAGGGTCCTCTGAAGTTTTGGTTTTCTCGGATTCAGCGCTTTCGGCTCCCAGGGCATTGGGTTATGTTGAGCACCGATTGCTTGGAGGGCTCCTGGTGGATTTCGGGCCCAACTAGATCCGAGTACCGTCGTGGATCCTCCCCTCGCAACTTCGTGCAGAGCTTCAACCCCGACAGTTGTTGAGACCCAGCAAGTTTCGGACCCAAGGTGTGAGGACACGATCCTTAGTCATAGAGTGGAGTTGAACCTTCCCGCGATCCGCAAACCCCGCAACAACTAGCCGCGGCTTGCGGGAGGCCCACCTGCATGCGAAACAAGAAGCAAAACTATAACCAAACCGAGACAGAAACGGCCGAATTTTTCACAACAAATAGAGTCTCCAGGCTGGCCCCTACGCTCATAAACTACACCCTCACCCCTCCAAGAGAAATCTGAAGCGCAAACCCAAATAAATTTTGAGGCTCCCTACATCATCTTAGCATGGAGGGTTTTCATAAAGACCCTCTGAGGCTCCCTACATCATCTTAGCCTCCCTTTGCTCCTCCTTCGCCTTCGGGGTCTTATCCTTCTGGACCGCTGCGGGCATCTCTGTCCGGGGCCCTGGGGGGCCGGACAGAGCACTATTTTGGGGGCTCCTTATTATCGATCAGTATGGTATGATGGGCTTCGGAACCCTATTCTAGCTATGAAGGCCCCTATATCATACTCCTACAAAGCGTTTCACAGGCTTAGGGTTATTGGGCTATAGGTTCAATGAATTCAGGACTTTGGGCGTCCGAGGACTTCGGGTTCGTTTGATGAAGATAGGGTTGGGGATAGAGGGTGTTCATTGGGCTCTTTCAAACCATTTTGGGTCTACGGCGTCTACGGCTTCGTTGCAGGATTCCGACCTTCAGGGAGAGATTCTGCAAATTTATTGATCCTAGACTGCTGTTAGTGAATGTGCGGCTTGTTCGTCTAGGTTTTAGTTGGGAACCCCTTGAAGCTACAGATGTTTCTTAAGGTTTTCCAAAGAGTGTGATTTGGGGTTAGGTTGCGGGGGTTCGGTTACTGAGAGCGCAAGGCTGTAATTTCAAGAGAAAACTACAAAGCTGAAGCTGAATGTCCATGGTGGCATACCGTGTGCAAAACCGGGCCTGCGTTTGATCCTTCGTGAATCCGGAACTCCTTCTCGCTTGAGATTCTGAGAAAGTATTCTGGTTGCTTTAACTTATCTAGCACAGATTCCGTATTCCCTGATGCCCAGTGCTCCTCAGCTATATGCGTCTGCAAAACAGGACCAGGCTTGTTTCTATTGGATTCTGGGCACTGGAATCTGCATGTAAGCGATCCCGGCAGCATTGAAAGTTCAAGTCTCAGGACCCAGTGGATTATACGGCTTCCACAGTATACAGCACCCATATACTACCAGACTTAAGTCGAAAGAAAGGATCTTTGATGCTCTTTAGGTCTCTCTAAACCTTAGACGGAGCTTGTCTTCGGCCACTGTGCCGGGGCATCTGCTCCTCCCTGGCTTCAGGAGCTGAACACCGGGATTCAAACTCTGAACTCCTAACTCTTAACACAAGGATCAGGGTTGTATACGGCTTTCAAACAACAAAAACCTCCTAATCCCCTTATTCCTAAACATTCGACTCGAGTTGCCCGAGGATCGACGCTCAAGAGAGGGATCCTGAAGGGTTTTGTAAGATGCTACAAAGGTGCTAGAAGGTAGTGATCTCCCTTCACACGCCTGTGTGATGAAGTCCACCAGGCAGGAAAGCCCCGAGAATTCCACGGGAGCCTTCGGGAAATTGAGTTTGAGGTGAAGTCTAGAGGGGTGAATCTAGAGGCTCGGGCTCAGAACTTCAAGAGCCGAGACTCTTCCACCGACTGCTCCTGAGGTCGGTGTTGTTTGCCTGGTGCCACTCGGCATAGGTAATTATAAAGTTTGGGGTCCACTGTGAGGATCGGGTGTGGGTTGGTTCCTAGGCCCTGGGCTCGAACTGGGACCAGAGATGGCACAAGTCTTGCCATGAGTCGTCGGTCGTGTTTTCCGCAGTGGTACTGAGAGCTATCATCGCAAAATGTTATGATACGAGTGAGGATCATCGTTAAAGCCATCCGAGCAATCCTAGTCCCAATGGCGGTGCTATCTCAAGAGAACGTCCATGACAATGACAGGATGAGCGAGTCCATGATGTGAGTGACCCTACACTGAAAATCTAGAAAGGCCCAACTCGGTTTTGGCAGGTTGCTGATGGTTATCATTTGTCTGGGTGCCAGATTCGGAAGGACTCCTTCGCCTCAGGCTTAATGTCTTGTAAGGCTTCTGCGTATTTCTGCGGGTCTGCTTACATCCATGCCGGGAGGCATGCAGTGCCGTCATACTCTGAGCACCATAGGGATCACGGACTTGGTGCGGACCGCAGTAGACACTACACCCTTATCTGCGCGTCCTACCACTGGATATGGAACGGGACCCTCGATTGAAGCCTAGGTCTCCGACGCCTAGAAGGTTTGGATTTTTGGGGTCCAAAGTCTGAAGGTGTGGGGCTTTAGGGTGCGAGGGTGTGGGCTGTGCCATGATTAGAGCTGGGAGGCGCCGAAGCGAGAGTGCCAAGCTCGCATGGCTCCAAGGCTCGTCCATCTCCAACTCTCGACGGCAGACCTCCTCACGGAGGCCCTGCGCGTCATGATTCAGGGTTTTAGGGGATTTAGGGTTTGTGTTTGGGATTAGGCTAGGGTGCGGGTCCGGGTGTCGTCACGAGGGCTTTTTATGGTGGATTCTACAGGGCTTTAGGATGTAGAGGGTCGAAACCCTTTTTCTTCTTTTGTTGTTGGCTACAGGCGGGTGCCATGCGAAGCCCTGGGCATCATGGTTTGGGGTCTAGGAGTTTAAGGTTTAGGCTCAGACTTTAGGTTTTTCTGCCGCTGCAACTACTTCTGTTTCAGCTTCAGGCCCCAAATAGGGACTCGTACATTTTGGTACACAAAGCTCAGTTCTGCTACCTGTGACAACCCTAGGCCCATCTAAGCCCTAAACCATCCGAAACCCTTGAAGCCAAGCACCCTAAGCCCAAGAAGCTCTAAGCCCTGAAATGGGAGAGGCCCGCTACGCCGTGCAGATGCAGAAAGCTCCGGAAGCCGGGCCTGATCTCATGACCTACGCGCCCGGGATCAGAAGGGACAGGGAGGGATAATGCAGGGTTTAGCGTTTGGGGGGCTGGAGAATGCAGGGGGTGATGTAGGGGCCTTAATAATTAATTACCTATACTATCGTGGGGGTTCCCTATTATACTTATAGTATAATGGGCCCCAAAACCCTGTTCTAATTATTAAGGCCCCCATATTAGATAACGCAGGGGGGTGATTTCTAACAGGATCCCCTTCAAGGGTTCCTCTTAAGGTTTCAAGGGTTTATATATAGTTTGTTGTAGGAGTTTGGGAATGATAAGTAGTAGTAAGTAGTATCCCCCCATAGTCCTTGTATAATGGTGTATACAAGACCCAAACCTTATTCTAATTCCACCTATGAGTTTATTGTTAAGGGTGCTAGGCTTTGGGGATCAGAAGGGCAGGGCTGGGCAGGTTCAAGGACTTAGGGCTTTGGGACAGGTACGGTGTAAAGGCCAGGGTTCTATGGCTTCTGCACGGGCTCATGATTCGGGGGAAAGTGCATGAGGTCAGAAAGCGGTTCACCCTTTTTGGAGTCGCTTACGCTTGCTTGAGCTTTTCTAGAGACCACATCCATTCGACCGTAGTCAAAAAGCCTAAAGTAGCGCTCAGGGTTTGCATCAGCTTGAGCCCGGGCCTTCTAAGGTTATGAGCTCGAGACAAGATTGAAATTGAGGTGCCAACTGCCCCTTATCGAGCCCGATAATTGCTTGGCTGCCTCTTAGGATGGGACAGGCTTATAGGTTGGCTGTCCTTGGATTCGCTTGTAGGATTAGCTCCAAACGTGAAGCATCTGGAAGCGACCAACCGGAACAATGAATCCGTACAACACCCCGGACCCACGGAAATCCCAAAGCACCGTACCAATGCATCTTACAAACCGGAAGCCGCTTTCCCCAAACTCCTAGAGTGTAGTGGCTCCATGAACCCTCAACCTACCAGAGTCCCCTTTAGAAGTATAGGATGACCTACTCAGAATGCCGATATTTTCTAAGTATCCAGATTATCTTTAGCCACCGAAGCTCCACCATCTGCAAAGGTGTGGGCAGGGATCAACATGGCATCGCTGGTGGCGACGCTCCTCTCTGGCAGCTCGGCACATGGCATGACTGATTATGGGATACTAAGAAGGGTTGCTATAAGCATGTCGATGTCAGGTAAGATGGTTAGGTCGCCAGCACTATCAACACCGCCATCACTGGAATTAGGCATCACCCTGCTCCAAATCATCATTATCATCATCGTCAGCATCATCATCATCAACATCATCGCGTTCTCTTCTTCAGCAGCGGGCATCGTGGTTTGTGGTGAGAAGTAAGACCTCTTGTCTTGGCCATAGCGGCAATCCGATACTCCATCACACACACACACACACCGCAGTGATGACTATGATAGCAACTGAAGTTGGCCAGTGGGGTGCGGTGCATGTTTTCGCTTAACCGTGAAACCAATATATGAGGATCTGATGTGTGAGCTTATTTCAGGTTTCAGTGGCCAACCTCGATTCATCGTCCGAACCATTCTTGGCCTCAGGAAACACCAGTCTACTGTAGGGCCTAGGGCCTTTGAAGAAACACCTGGGACTTGTATACCTGAGTGTAGGGGTTCAGGGATTTTGGGCTTTCGGGGCTGTTGATTTAGTTGTTTGGTGTTTGCGTGGCTTGTAGAGCCCGGTTTAAAGGCAGGTTTCACAGTACGGAATAAACAGAGTTCAGAGTTGCAGGTGGAATGGCTGCACATGCTGATTATGGAACCTGATAGCAGCCGTTATATAGTCCTTGTGGAAGCCTTGTCTGCTCAAGGAAAGTGTTTGTTTCAGGTGGCTCCCTGCGGCTAGTATCTACAACCAACAGAAAGTCAGGGAGCCGAAGATCAAGCTTTCATTCTCTGCAGGGACTTCTCTTTAGGTAGTAAGATCCTTGATATAAACATCCGTATATACAGTTCCTAAATGCAAGACCATCTATCATTGAACCCTAAACCTGAACCCTATAAAACCTAAACCCTAAACCCTAGTGCTTGAACCCCAAGGGCCTCTCATCCACGAGTACGGCTGGCGTGCCGCTTTCTTCTGCACGGCGATTCCTGCAGTCTTCGACACTTTCTTGCATGTTTGTAAAAGGGCCTTCCGAAGGAGGGACCTAGGAATACACTTCCGAAGGCACCCACTTTGTAGCTGGACATGTTTTTTGCGCAAACTACCACATTCCTCTGCACGACACTGAAGAGTTCTGCTGTGTTGTAGACTTTAACACATTCCCTGCAGCAGCAAATAGGTGCGCTGTTCAGCAGCTCGCAGTTCTCCTTGACATTCTCTCTCTCACTCACTCACTCACTCACTCACTCACTCACTCTCTCTCTCTCTCTCTCTCTCGCTCCCCTGTCTATCTCACTTTACTACATAATCTCGCTCAGAGGGGTCTACGTGTACTTGGAGAGTTGATTTGAGAATCACCGGGGCGGGTGTTTTCGAGGGCAGGCCGGGAGACAAAGCCCCGCAACAGAGCCGCTTTAATTGTAGTGTCTGTTCATGTAGGGGTTGGTTGGTGGCAATGAAATCACAAGGTTGGGGGTTTGGGGCCTTGGGCTGTGAAGTGTTTTGGGTTTCTCGAACATTTCGATTCTTTTCCTGTTTAGCTGGCTTCTCATTTCAACCTTGAGAGTGGCATGACAAGGGGCTCGATGTAGAGATTCCAGGATTCAACATCTCCTTGCCATGACATAACATTTTTTCGGTTGTAACAGCTTTGATGCCGCTGCATGGTTTCCGGTTCAGGGTTGTCGGGTTTCAATGTCATCGAGCTTGACTACAGCTTCGGAATGATTCATAAAGACTTCGCAGCTACAAAGCCCGTCATGACTCGCTAGAAGACGCAGACGACATCCCACCGGGCCGTTCCGGTTTCCTGCAAGACGAGCCCAACTGGAACAGTGCACGGCCGAAACTGTCTCAAGAGGTCCGGGTGTCTGGGTACCCATGATAGTAGCACAAACTCTTTGGTTGAGATTTCGGCCTCAACCCCTTTCGCTGTCTGAAGAAACGAAAAGAAAAGCTGAACTTCGGCTTGCAGTTGAGCCCTGTCACAATCTTTAGGCATTAGCAATTGGAATAGTGCTTTGTGGAATCTGATGATGCTGAAGCATACATGGTAAAGGGGCCAAGTTATGCGACTACTATACGTAAAGCCAGGTATTCGAGCAGGGAATGGAAATTTGCGCGCTTGGGATCTGGATCCTTACTGGCTACAACTCCCGCACCCAACTCTAAAGGGGTCTGAATAGTTCGTACGATAGCCTTTTGCCCCTATATGCTTCTACAGCATCTGTACTTTCAGGCCCTTACATAAATTTCCTTGAGCACTGAGTTTCAACAGGTCTTGGTTCCAATCGCCCTGGGCTGCCTGGAAGAGATTCCAGCAAGCCGAGAGGAGAGAACCCCGAGATTGAGGGGTTTTCAACGATTGAGGGTTTTGGGTGCTCTGACTTCCCGCTTTGAGATTCCATCGCTCATGGTTTTCAGGACTTGGGGTTTAAGGCTATGGGTATAGGAGTTCAAACCGCAGGTGAAGCCTAAGCTGTCCGCAGGCTGTTTAGAGTTTAGGTGCTCTAAGCTCGGAATGCAAGGCCATCACACGCTGCACCCTGCAGGCCCCGGTAGTAAACCCTACCTCGACCCTATCTATCTATTTATCTATGTCTATATAAATATATAAATAAGTGTGTATGTATATATATATATATATATATATATATATATATATGCATCCCTACAATCCAGAAGCCTAAACATCCCTGAGCCCTGGACCCTTAGCCAACAAACAGTAAGTCTCTTGAAACCAGGAGCTGGCAAGGATTCGGCAGCATTACTTCGAGCATCGGGAGACCTGCTTCCTTTGTCTCATCATGCTTCCTGCCCTTATGTTCAGGGTTAAGGGGTTTCGAGTTTAGGGTGGAGGGATCTATAGGTTTAGGGGGGGCTTGCGGTTAGGTCTTTTGACTGTCTTATCCCTCAGAAGAAGTACGGGTGCGCCCTGGAGGTTCTTAAGTGGGGGTGTTCGCGGTTGGTTGGGGTAGGCTGGAACACCATCCCTCTCTCCCACCGAACATGCCCGTGTGCGAGTTGGTGCAGCTTGCTGTTTGGAACTTGTGCTTAATATAGGATCGGGCTGCACCGTTGTCACAGGCAGGTACAGCCTCGTGTTTCTGCCTTTTTCCCACCCACCCACCCTGGGCTGCAGAGCAGCTTAGGAAGAGGGAACGAGAGGGGAGAAAGGTAGCCTGTTGGCAGAGTTCTGCTGGATGGCTTGTCCCTGCATCTTGCAAAACAGTGTCGGCACGCCTGCAGGAGTTTGAGCTTTGGCTTGTTAGGATGGGTGAGAGGTTCGGGGTAGGGGGATCAGATCGCTGCATGTTGTGGCACCACGGTGCATTCACGATGCATGATTACGATGGCGCTTCCGAACTTTTGTAACCGTGCTCCCACCATTGTGGCAGAACTGCTATTGAGTGTGATTACTATAGTACCTATACGTTCACAAGGTTTCATTCTCGTCATTATGGATACTGCGATTACTGTTACCATTGCTATTCGTGCGCTCTCACATGCAGACTATGTGCGTACTCATTTTGTTTCTCCGGCTTCGGATCGGTTTGCAGGGCGTTGCGGCAACATCTTGTCATCCTTCTGCGAACTCTCTTCCTGCCCTTCAGAAAGCCATTTCTCATAACTCTTAACCCTGAGCCCCCCGAAACCCTGCATCAGTACCCTTCTGAATTTCGGACCTTGGAAACCCAGCACAAGAACATAATGGCACCGACTAGACCCCCGACGACGGGTGCCCTAAACTTCAGATTCCTGAGCCCCAACAAGCTCCTCCCCCTTCAGAGGACCGAAATTCGAGTCGAAAACCTTGAGAGTTTAGGGCTTAGGGCCCTTTCCCCCAAGCGAAATTCGTCTCTCGAGAGTATCTCCCAGAGAGGTACTCAGGATCCTCCTTCTGGGGCTCTCAGGCAACAGACAAGAAACCCTAAAAGACCTAGTCCCCCCAAAGCTCCTAAACCCCAAAAAGCTCTGAAACGTCAAGCTCCTAAAGCCCTATAATCTTGAAACCCTAAACCAGCCCGAAAAGCCCCCAAAGCCCGAAGCCCGAAACCGTTTTCCTGTGGCAACCTGAGGCTTTTCAGCACCTTCACGATCATGACCCTGGGGCTGCTATATGGTTCTATTCTATAAGCCTTTCCAGTTTTACCATATATCTGAAAAAGGTACAGCATAGGATAACGAACTAAAGGTTGGTAATTTGGTGAGCGTCAGGGAAGCAGTTGGGTTCAGGTGCGTGCGTCAGCGGTCAGGCTTCAACATTTGGGGTTGAGGGGTGGCGAGGGTGTGTGGGACTGGATTTCTGAGGGTTTCAAGGTTCTAGGGCTTGGGGATAATTGTCAGAGCCATCGCCCGAACTAGAACGCTGGCAACAGCGTCCTCCGTGCATGCACAGACGTAGTAGGGGTAAGAAGCTCGGATGAGCTCGGGGTTCGCGATTGGGGTTAGGCATCAGTGACCCATGGTGCACACAGAAGCGGTGTTATGCATTGTGGAATTCGAACCTATTTCAGCAGGACCTGGCGCTGGAGGATGAAAGAGCTATCAACCCCGGAACACGAAGCCTACACTCTACGTCTTAGATTTGCATTAGTGAAACTCCAACCCAAGCCATGATTCCAAAACCCAAGCACTAAACCCCAAACCTGGCCCAAACCCCAGTCTCAAAACACGGAACAGGATAGTTGGCCTCGTCCAGCACGACCCGCGGATCAACTTCGCGGTGTCCCTCGCCACTGCTTTGCCCCCCGGCTTGCTCGGGACAAACATATCAATAGATGACAGAGAGCAAGAGAGACTGAAAGCGAAACCGAGCGCTTGTATGTGTGGATGCATGTTTCAATGGACAGGTAACCAAGGACCTGAGCAATCAACCCTAACCCAAAACCCAAACATACAGAGCTGGATCGGTCAATAGATGCCGCTAGACCTTAAATATGAATCCTCGAACCCCTTCATATCTAGACTCTAAATCCTACACTCCTGAAGACCTACGCCAGGCATGTCCGGCAACCCGAAGCCAGGAAAGTACAAAGCAACAAGTGCGGCATGCACCTGGTCTTCCGCAAAGAGTCTAGGATTTCCTGGGAGCCTAGTTGAGGACAGAAGTTAAAGTTACTGGGATACTGGCACCATGAGGTCTTTATAGTCTGTAAGGACCAGTAACCCACTTTACAGGTAACGGGGCTCATGGCCGTTGTATGTCCATGACAGCAATCAGGCTTGAAGCTCGCGGTTTCGAAATCACATTATAGGACTGGGCGGGGGCTGACCCTTCGTTCAGGCTTTAGGGTTGCCAGGCGTGGCTCTCTTCATTCGGTCGAGTCTCGGCTCGCAGGTTCATGCTGCTGTGCTTCTCCCTCTGCCTCACACCCGTAATCGCCAAAGCGAATGCTTTCGCCGTGCTCTACACTGGCTTGAGCCTTGTTGGCAAGACATGACACCCTTGAGTAGAACTTTCCAAAAGTCCCCTGATCCTGAAGAGTGTGAAGGAGCCCAAAGCTAATCTCAACACTCCAGCTTTCATAGCCCGAAGCCTAAATGTGGCGTTATTGCCCCTAGAACCGGCAGGGCTTGCAGTGGGCCTGCTGCCATTCCATGCCGAGTTCAGCGTGCAAGCCTTCAAAGGCAGTTTGGGGTTTTCAGGCAGTGCTGTTCCGCATTCTCTTCGTTCTGAGTCTATCTACTCGGACGATCACCTTGTAGACCCCATACAATTCTCACATTGCAATGCTCCCTGCAAGGCATTCGATGCGAGCGTCGCATATAGAGTATAGAGCTGTGAACCATTGGTCATGATACCCTTTCAGAAAACCTTGTGGTGGCCATGTAAGCCCTGCAGGCCCACCGAAATCGCAACAAGCCTTGAATCGGCCTTTGCACCTCTTCGATTGAGGAGTGCCTCGATTTCTGGTGCTGCTTTCTACTTCTACACCGACACGCCGGACCTCGCCATAATCCTTGGTGACTTAGTGCTCGGGTTCCAGGTTTAGTGGTTTGAATCAATAGTCAGGGATGCAAGGATTTGGCGGCTTGGAGTCCGGGGCTAGTGCTTGCGGCTTGGAGTTGGGGTCTAGGTTTTGAGGTCAAGGTCTATGTAAAAAGTTCAGAACTTGTAGTTTACAGTCCGGGCGAGGTGTATACGTAGGGTATGGGATTTGAATATTATCGGGTCTTTGTGTGTAGAATTTGTGAGATCAGGGCTTGGGTCACTGGATTGAGCTGTTTACCCCTACCCTCTCAGTACAGCCTACCTTCTTGGAAGCTTGTTTTGATTTGCTTACACACACCCTTAAAAGGGTCGGTGATTTGGTTAAGGTAAGGTTTATGGCTGCCCCATCCGCGAAGCAAACGCTCGGCAACGACGCGTGAAATCTGAAACATCCTGAAGCCGCCGGCACTCGTCAAAAAACCTTACGCAATGTAAACCAGGCACTGAGGTTCCCTGTGTTCGGGCTTGTCGTGCCCTGGTGGGACAGGAGATGTATCCAGCCGGACCGCATTTCTCTGATGTCTTCTTCAACACCATCCTCGGCACGGTTGGGGTGGTCTTCTCCCTGTTGGGCATGTTCCTGTATCAGCGGTACCTCGGGGGTCTCCAGTACAGAATGCCGCCTGGCTGAGAGGAGAGCAAGTCTTCTTCACCTGTTGCTCGCCGCCCCAAAGTCTGCCAAACGGTAGGTTGTGATTTCAACTCTTCATGGTAGTTTTGGAGCTACAGGTAGACCCTAGAGTCAGAACCTGCAAAGCAAGAGACAAACTCAACATCCCAAATCCAAACTAAGCCCGGATAGGGCCTCTATTGCTACCTCGGGTTTCTTAAAGAAAGGGCTCCTGAACGGCCCCTGCAGAATCTCAGGGCTCTGGAGTAACATGAAAGAAGAGTAGGAAATTCTCGGTCAAGAGTGTCGGGGTTAGAACTCACACGTTCGTGCGGTTGCTTTTGTATGCCAGAGCCCTGCGTGAAGCACGGAACCCAGAACCGCCCTAACCCGTCCCTAAACCTTAAATTGTGCAGACCCGAAAAGTCCTAACCCTAACTAACTGCGACCCAAAGCCTCGGGGTTCCTCCATCTCAGGCTTATCCGGATCACGGCAATGATCATGTTCTGCTTCAGCATGCTGGACGTCATGATGTTCGCGCGTGTGAATGCCACCACCCCGCAGTGTTATATGGGATTTGGGTTACAAGTTTAGGGGTGTTCGCTGAGGGTTCAAACATAGTTTGGCGACCAAACGACGTGATTGGGCTGTTACAGGTTGGGCAGCAACACATACTCGCTCCACAGAAGGCAAAGACAAAGACCATTTCCAGATGAGCGACTATGAAAGGCCCCGAATGCGGTCAGAGTTCGTGTTTCCGTCCAGATACTCTGGAGTTTTCAATACTCCTAACTTGGCAAAACATTGAATCATACCCAAGGCCCTGACCTGTCTTGAGTTCCTGCCATATGGTGCTGAAAACTTACAGTGGGACGCCCGTAGCTTCCAAAGCCCCGAAACCCCCTAATGTAGGGGCCTGAATAACTAGTCATGCTATTCCTTACAGTTCTCTCATACGTTTAGAGTATAAAGAAACATCCCCATACCCTATCCTAGTTGTTTAGGCGGCTTTGGCTCCCAGACCCTAAACCAAAAGCCTTAAACCCTGAACCTACGACCCTAAATCTCGTTTATCCGACACCGCAGCTGTAAGCCATAAACCCGAAATTCCTCAGAACCCTAAACCCCAAAGAAACCCCCAACCCTAAAACCCTGCTCAGAAGTTCTAAACCATGAATCATTCAGAGAGAAAGAGAAAGAGAGAGAGAGAGAGAGAGAGAGAGCGAGCGAGAGAGGCAAGTCCTTCCCCTTTGCCTTGCTGCTCAGCACTGGGTGACCAAACTCTTGAACCCTGAACCCTTGATCCCCTGAACGCCTCGCAGAGCCCTGCAACCACCACAAACGATGATACACAAGTAAACTCGCATCCTGATAGAGACCCCTACATCAAGAAGCTCACAGTACAGATTACCGTACGGATATATGATATATGTGTATGTGCGTATGTGCGTGTATATATATATATATATATATATATTATACACATATATATAGCTCTATATACAACTACACAAATCTCGGCAGCTTAAGGTCAGGTTTGGCATCCCAGATCACTGGCTCGTCCTGGGACTGTCGATTTGTGAGCAGAACCTGGGCTCTGACAGTGTAGGGTTTGGATTTTAGGTGTAGGTTGAGGGCTTAGTTGCTGAAGATGTTTGGAAGGGACGTTGTACGGTTTGTACTGTAGCGGTTTGGGGCTTTATGGGTTCAAGGTTCTGGGGGTGATTCTGTCTTGAAGCATGGCGTTTCGGCTTTGGGATGGGTCTGGTGCTGCAGGTGAACAGTTTTGGATATTGCAGATCAGGTTTGTCGGTTTTGGGATGAATGCAGAGGTTTGTACACGGCAAACGATTTTAGGATTCCGGCCCAATGCAACATTATAAGTAGGCTTTTACGGTGTAAGGGAATAAAGCTTTTGGGAGATCTACTGTCATCCTGTTTGGGCTATGGCTACGTAGGAGCTTCAACAACGACGAAGAGGTTCGCATAAGGACCCTAAGTAGTAGGTGCCTTGTATTCATGACCCTGCTGTTTCCGGAAAATTCTCACGTGAGTTCAACGCCCAGGATGGTGTATCAGTGGCAGTGGATGCCGCAGGCAGGACCTCCGTCGTTGACTGTGTGATGTCCTGGGTGGAGTTTGACATGTTTTGTGTTTTGTCTCAGAGGTTTCTGCTTCTTGGAGGCAGGCACGGAAGCTGAAGAGAGCACCAAACAAGACCACTGTTTGATTACTGTCCTGTCCAATCGGCACATATATGTGGTGTGTCAAGAAGGGTAGGGCTTCGGTTGCCGGGCATTACAGGTTTCGCGGTTCAGCAGGCTTTCTGCTTTGAGTCATTGATTTCTGCTGAATGCCGCGACTCATTTTGGTGATGTTGCGGCAACACGACCCGCAGTCCACTTAATACGACACCCAGGGACTCTTTCTGCTTACACAATCGTAGACCAAACATATGCCTCTGACGAAGCCAACCTGCAGCCCTACAGCCTCAACCCTAAACCCTACAGAGCCCTAAACAAGCCCGAACCGTTTGAACCTCCAGCCTGTCTGTTGATCTGTTGCTTTGGGATTTGGGACGGTCGGAATGCGAGATGCGAACCCACGCTCAGGACATATTTTGTTCGACTGGTTTCGCCAAAAACAAACCCCTAAGACCCCTTAAACCACCGCACACAAATCTAAGCGACACACGTCAAAGGGACTACAATAAACCGTGAATCAAGGAACCAGCAAAGAAACTCTTAACACAAGCCTCGAAATTGAAGGAACTTTGAAGGAACTCTAAGCCAATGTGAGGTGTTGCTGAATGCAAACCTTTGTCCCCGTGGCATGGAGGCACCCCAGGGGTCGACAGGGCTGGGCTGCATCCCTTTGCAGGGTTCTTGTTGGGTTGCTACGGGGTGCCATAGGGCTGTACAGGGCATGGCCAAGCCCCAAACCTCAGCCTTAGATCTTCGACCGAAAATGCGGAAGCTTAAAACAGCCATTCCAAACCTCAAACTGTGTAACTGAAAGCCAAAAGAGAACTCTTGAATCGGAGGTTGCTACTGTGAAGCAATCCTTGTCCTTCAATTAGCGGTCATAGCCCAATTGTAGGGAGTGGCGCTACAGTCATGGAGGCTCATGAGCCCTAAGCGTAAGCCCTAAACCATGACTTTCATGATCATTCTGCAGGCACCGGATCTGAGAATTGTTCTAGAGTCGGAGGCTCCTTGAACCCTAATCCCTAAACCCTGAAAGTGTCCTTGGTCGTTTAGGGTAGTAGGTAATGAATCTCGGAGGCCTTCTTGTGGGAAGTTGAATTTAATTCTTTCCGTTTGCGCTTTTGCCTCAGAAGCCCCAACGACCGCTGGTTTAGGGTTTAGGGGTTGGGTTTTAGGGTTTAGGACTTATGGGCAGGGGCCTGGACGCTTAGTAATATTGTCCTCGCCCCGGCACTACACAGCGGCATTTGGGTGTCTTTGCTGACAGTACAGTCTGAGCGATATCCCAGTCTGGCTATAGAGGCCTGGCCGGGACTTCTCGGACGTCGTGGCTACAGCGGCTACGGGAAGTCTTACAGCGGGTCTGACGAGAAGATGCTTGAGGACGAGCCCTTTGACCTGCCGACCTTGAGTCAGGACAACATCACGAAGATCACCGAGATTAGGAATAGTAGTAGTAGTAGTAGTAGTAGTAGTAGTAGTAGTAGTAGTAGTAGTAGTAGTAGTAGTAGTAGTAGTAGTAGTAGTGGTAGTAGTAGTAGTAGTAGTAGTAGTAGTAGTAGTAGTAGTAGTAGTAGTAGTAGTAGGATTGGAAATACTTGTCAGCGTCGCTGATCGTCATCATCATCATCATCACCATCATTATTCTGGCCAGCACTATCATCAGCACCATTGCTATGACTACCAGCAGGAACATCAGGACTCAGCATCTCGGTCACAAATACCACAACTTGTCAAACCAAAATGCTACAAACTGCCTGAACAAGTTGGTTTGCTAATCCTTAGGCCCATGAATATGTGCATCTGTAGCATTGTAGCATTTTAAGACCCCCAAACGACGTTGGTGAAACTATTTCTTCAAGCCCTCAAGTTTTGTAAAGCCCAAACCCGGTTGTCAACCCTAAACCAGATTAATAAAATCCTGGACCCTAAGCCCGATGGATGACCCTGAAGCCTCAGCCCTAAGCCCTCTGCTCAGGCGACCATGTTTGCACTCCTAGCAGGATGCCCTCCGGCTGCATTTGGAGGGCTCAGGGTTGCAGTGCTTTTGAGCTTTTGGGGCATTAGGGTCTTTAGGGTGGGTGTTTATGGGGTTTAGGGATACTGGGGTTTAGGACTCAACGCTTCCATTGAAGCAGAGCGTCGACTTTGAGACTTGGGTCGGCTCGTCATTTGTAGGTTCAGGGTTTGGGGCGTAGACTAGAAACAGTTTATGCTTGTTTTGGCGGTGCATTTTCTCATTGGTCATCCAGGGGTCAGAATTAAGATACGTTCTTTGTCAACCCACCTACCTAGCTAGCTAGCTACCTACTTTGTGATTCTGTCTACCTATCTGCTTATCTACGGATCGTCTTTGTAAACCTGCATACACTGAATACGTGCATAGTTACCTACATACATACATGATAACTAGGTACATCGGTGTGTCTATGGGCGTGTATGTATACATATATATATATATATATATGCATATACACGCGTACAGTGACTCAGACCTACCGAGGCCACAATCTGGGCATGACCGTGAGCTCCAACTTTGGTGCGGCGTTGCTCCACGTGTTGGACGTGAAGCCTCGAGGCAAAGGTTTCGGGTTTGGGGTTTAGGGCATGGGGTCTAGGGTTTATAGAGCTTATGGGCTTTATGGGTTTGGGGTGTATGAGTATCTTGGGGCTTTGGGAGCTGGACTGGAGGGTTGACTACACGTTAGCAGAACAGGGCCGGGCCGTGGCGAAGCGCAGACCCCAAACAGTGGCAGCAGGTTACGAGTCGAAGCAACCGCCACGACCACGACGACCACCCCACCAGAGTGATCACCGCCTCACTTAATATGGACCGAGCCCGAGAAGCCTCTTTTCCAGGTGCCGTCGGCGAGGCCACTCAATTTAATAACCTCTGGATTGCGGCGGCGATCAGCTCCGTCCTTCCGCTGGTATCCCTGGCGCGATTTGGGGCTTTGGGGTTTCAGGTTAGGGTTTGAGGGGATGTATAGTATAGCTGTGCGGCTAATACGTGTTTTGTTTGTTGTCTAGTCTCGTGGTTGTTCACAGGGATAAACTCATGATGTTGCATCTTCGGCATTCTTCAGCGACGGTAGCCTCCTTCATTTGTGGGTCTACGAAGGACGCCAAGCTCTAAGCCTGAGGCGAATCAGGCCTGGGAGCTAAGCGTCTAATTGGAGGGTCGGGGGACTATAATAACTCAAATACTTTTAGGGTATATACTTCTCAGTCTAGTCACTACCTGTTTTACCTGCAAGACTACATAGAGGACCTCTCATAAAGAGCAGAACATGCAGAAGACTTATTGTACAGGACCCCTCAAAGACACCCTTGGAAGAACCCTTTGCAACGTACTGGCTCCTAAACCGAACAAGAACAAACTGCACAAGGTGACAGCTCTCTGCCTCAGCCACTTGCTGCCAGACTGTGCCTCGTTCCATACAGACTCTATTGCTCTAAGGAATGTAGAAAGGCCATCCCACCTCACAGCCTAAGGCAGGGGTGGTTGCAGGATGTTGGTTCGGTGTTGGTTTGGGATCCTACGGCTCACTGCCAGGGATTTAGGCTTTGGTGTTCTAGGGCTTGTCATATCACGGTGATGTCACAAAGAGGTGTTTTCGTGGAAGAAACAGAGCCACATACGTCTAAAACGGCATGCCGTAAGAGGTGCCAGAACTCCAGTGATCCTCTCCTTAGTGCTCCCTTGTAGCAGTTCCCAAAAAGGAAGTAAAGTAGAAAGGCAACCGTAAGACCTCGCAAGATTTGCTAGTGCTGCTCGTACTATGCCTTATGCGGGCCTTCGGATTGCTGAATATTGCGCCTCATCGCAACAACCCTCCAAAAAACTGCATGACTAAGGTCGGGTCTCTTGGCCCCAGCAGCCCTGCTGCCTAGATATTGGATTTGTACGTCCCGTAGTTAGCTGTACAGGCTCAACGCTTCACCCGGAAAGCCCGATATAATGGGTTCGAAATTCGAAACTACTGTAACTGTAGCTGTACAAGTCACCTTCTTGAGCTCCAGGCTCAAGAAATCACCATCAGGAGCACACTGCTGTACACAAGCTGCAACATCCCCTCCGAGACGCCAAAGCCCCAAGCACCCTAAAGAAGCCCGAACCCTTAAGCCCAAACCTCAGGCAGGCAGAATGAGAAGATCGACGCTGTAGCTGACCCGACGCAGGGTTCCGTCCTGCGGCGCTGGCTGAGCCAGAGATCCGGTTCCAGGGTGCTTTAGGGTCCTTACAGGGTTTACAGTAGGTAAAGGCTTTACATTGAACTACCTTGCCGGCATCTGGCTCTTTGCGAAGCTGTGCGGCAAAAGAACCAAAGCCCCTGCAGCATGTGGTCACCGGTAGTCTCGCAGTCATTGTCTTGTCGTCGTTAGCGCAGTACCGAAAAGGATATTTTGAACCAGCGTCATTTCTTGATTTGCCGCAGACTTGGCAAAGCTGTGTAAGGAAACACCACAGCCTGATAATTTTCTAACGTTCGCTGGCTCTTTCATCACGAATACGGTTCCAAAAAAGCATCGGTGACCATTCTTGTGATGAAGTGTTGGAGACGGCCTAGTTCAATCACGTATGCCCTCAAGATGAAATTCTACTAGTGTAATGCGATGGCTCAGCATTTCTGACCGGCAAGACACTCTCTGAGCAGAAATGTAGAAATCACTGAGCTGAGCATACGCAGTAATCCTGAAGCACATGCAACATTTTTTGAGCTCATACTGTAAAGGAATGGAGCTTAGACTGGACATGACTGGACCACGCATGTACACCCAGAAGCCCCATGCTCGATGCATGCTCATTGAGAAACGACGTTTGTTGACCCGTGAACCATGCTTGAACTGATGAGTTCTGGGTGGCGTCGCAGCTCGTGCGTGGCCGACTAAACAGACTAAACAGGTCGTTTAGGTTTCAGGGGTTTGTTTGGAGTTTCAGCGGGTCAGCGTTAATTACCCTCACAACCAGCACCAGCCCAGAGCAACGGGTCCATCAGTGTGCCTCATGTGAGATACGTGCCCTCTTGTCTCAACCTATCATTTGAGCCTCAGCTTCTGTTGTTGGTTCCTTACTCTTGTGTCACGGCTCACTGCTGTTGTCATACACCCTGCAATAGCCTGGAGCCTCTTGGAGCCCAAACTCTATGCCTTCACCGCCTATGGCCCCCCCCTAAACCCCAGGCCCGGCGGGGCCCCAAGTGCCACAAAAAAACGAACACCCTGTTGCCCTTATAGTCCGTGGATAGGGTTTCAGGGTTGCCCAGGAAGGCCCATTCTAACTGGTCATGCCCCTCTGTTTAGAGCCCAAAGGCTTGAACACCCCTCCCTTAAGGACCTAATGACCGTCACCAAGTATGGGGCTCTATATCTGTTCATCCATAAAACCATTCAAAACCATTTTTCGAGAAAGATTAAGAAAGAGTAAGATCCCATATAACCTCCGCGAAATCCGAGCCCGGTAGAGTGAGACCTCTTCTTGCAGGAACAACTTCGTCAAAGGCTGCAAGTGGAGCCCCGATGGCAGTGCTCGGAACTCAGAGATCTCAAGTCGTTCGCAAGGAGAGGAATTGACTTTAGGGATGTATGGGTGGTCTTGCTTTGCTTTGGGCTGTTGAGTTCAAAAGTGGAGGATTTGGGGGCCAGGTGGACTTGGAGGTTTTAGGTATATATCTGGATTTAAGCGCTCAGCGACCTCATTAGTCATGCTTGCGAGTTCAGGGAACGCTGGAAAAGATGCCTGCTTCAACGGAGGATGGGGTCTTGTCCCAAGAGCAGCCCATAGCTATCTTTGGGCGGGCAACTGTCTTGAACAGCTGCCCGAGTGCTTCTGAACGCTCAGTGACAGTGGCGGAGCACGACATGCAGACCTCAGTTCGAGAGTACACAATAGGGTTTGGGGTTTAGGGTGTCACTCACGAGGCTATTTGTAAGAGCTTGTTTTCGGGCATGCCACTTGTAGAAACTTCTCTGTCGTTTCAACTGGTACACGCTGTGGTGCTCAAACCGTCAGTGCAGAGAGAACTTGTGACCTGCGTCATGCACGCGACAGGAGGTTTGTCTGGACGCGGCTCCATTGTGGTGCGGTGCATACTTTGCAGTCATTTCCCCTTTTTTACACAGGATCCGTGCGACCACATCCGTCAGGATGCCGTATCCTCTCAAAGCCAGGTCTGTTGTAAATTCTTTTACGTTGGCTTTGGCTTGCCGGAATGCCGCCAGTATATTGTCAGGGCTGGGATCGACCAGTGTAAGTATATCTGCGGAAGCTGTCCTGAATCCTGCCAGCAGATGACTGCCAGCACATGGGCAGGCATTCTTTGGCCGTGCACCTGAATCCCTCCAGTAGTTCCGTGGAGTGAAGCCTGGTGATGACTCCTGTGGTTGCCGTCAAGTACATGGCGGGGGAGTCAAAGGAGCCATGGTGTCCTGGTGGTCTCCCGTTTCGCTTGGTCTGCTGAGGGTCCCGGGTGGTTTCTGGTCGTGGAGGTCCGTGGTCGTCATGGTCGTGGGGCTCTAGCACTGTTTGGGGATTTATGCCGGCAGAGTTAAGAGAATGTGCCGAACCGAAGCCCCTTACGCCTTATGTCTCAAGCCATCAAAACAGACGTCAGAGGTTCCGAACAAAAGCCATCCTGGCTACGCAGAGACCTCGCAATCCCGAAAAATGCAAAGGTCATCCTGGCCGTCCATGATGATGAGATCCTGCGCCTATACGAGGACAGGATGTGTAGGGTTTAGGAAGTTTAGGTTTAAGGGTTTCGGGCTTAGGCCGTTTAGCACGAAATGAATGACGGTTCGCGGGACCAGCTTGGAATCCGCGTCCTTGTTTAGGGCTTCACGTTCATCATGATTGGCTGTTTGCGTTTTTTTGGCCGGAGGGTTTGCATAGGTGCCAGCATTCAGGGCTTCTCGGGTTTTGAGCTTCGTGCATAGATGCACTGAGTGGGGTTTGCTTTCGCAAAGCCTTTGGGGATAAGCCTGCAGATGTCTTGAGCTGTCGGATCATGATTCGAGCTGGGGCGTGACCCTCAACCCTCAAGCAGCCATGAAGTCATCAAACCTAGCGTGTCTGGGCATGGCGAGGGGTCGAGTCTTTACGGCAGTGAAGCCCTCAGCCTGTGTCAACACCCTAACACTCTCAACTTGTTGACTCTGTTCGGCGCAGGGCCGTTTGAGAGTTCAGGGCAGCCACGAACACAGTTTTTAGTCCCTTGCATGGAGGGTCAAACACTGAAAAAGCACTATTCCATAGTCAATTAGAGCCAGAGGGAAACCTTCAAGCTTAATCCCTGATATAACCATTGAAGAAACCATTGTGCAACCCTCAAGCAAAAGAAAACCCGCCAAGAGCTTACAGAACAACCCTTAAACGATCCGTCATCGAAGCCTATAGGTAGAGGTAGAGCAACTGCCTCAGCAGGTGCCAGAGGATTCATCGACAGCCAGCAGCTCAAAAGGAGGCAAACTGCTGTGGGTTTAGGCTTCAGGGTTCGGGATTTGTTTATCTCCTGTGCCTGTGCTGCGTACTATCCTATATGAAAATCAGCCTTGTGCAAATTAGTGAACAGTGCGGTTAGATTCTATCATAAGTCAGCAGAAACTGTCGGTGTCATGCTGTGTAGTGCTCCAGCTACTGCATGAAGTTACCCCTTAAACCCAAGCCCTTAACTCTGCATGGTACCAAAGCCCCAAACCTGACTCTCACCTGCTTCGTTACTCTGTCGGTGTGTTCTCGAGGGCCGCCAGACTTCGTTGTCATACTGCCTTGTTTCAGTCGTAATATAGCGGCCTGAATCATTAGAGTAGTTTTTCGAGGTACAACGATGTGTGTGTGTCCTATTCGGGATGATCCGGGAATCCTACTGTATACGTTTCAGATCTTGAGCAATAGCGGTTGCAGATGTTCTGCGAATGCCAATGCGGATGGTAATATCTAGGGCTAGGGCCTGTGCTGGTTGAGCATACATATCTTTCATACTTCGAATGGAGCCTCTTGGCACCATGATGTTATCGGAGATTGCTGTACAATCATCCCTAGACCCTAAAGGAGCACCAAGCCTGTCGTTGTAAGAATTGCTGGCCTCTGGACCTTGGACTTCCTCCAATACATGTTTTGGCATTTACTTGCCATTTCTTTGTCATTTGGTGGTTTTCCCGTTTGTCATGTTTTCGTGGTTTCTGTCCCTCCTTTCCTCCTTCCGTCAGATGAGCAAAAGACACCGCCTCGGGAAATGTCCAAATTTCGGGTTGGTGCCCTGCCCCGCCCTCCCTCCCTCCTCGCCCCACCAAGATGACAAACAAATGACAATGTTAACGACAAGACGATCCAGAATGGCAAAAGTATGACAACTCCAATGACAAGAGAACGACAAGGGCAAAGAAAAACAGAAGCACATGAAAATAATTCTGGAACCCACCCTGAGCTTTACTGCAGAAATTCGTGTTCTGCTACCATAGACCCCCCAAACAGTGAAAGGCCATGGGGCATGTACACCCCGAAGACCAGGACGACCATCATCGAAACGACGACCACCACCTCCACGACGACGATCACCACCTCACGACGGTGACGACCACGACCACCAAGACGATCACCTGGACTACCACCGCCACGACCACCACCAGCACCACCACCACCACCGCCACCAGGAACCATGAAGCTGGACGCAGGACGGAAGGCACCACCCTCAAAATCGTTCTCCACATGTTCTGGCAGAATGCAGTGGCCACGCAAACGTGCACGAGAGGCCGAATAGCTTTGCCCTGCCAGGAGTTTAGACATTCCGATCCTTTCCAAGTCAAAAAAGAAGCTGGCGTATCTATAAAAACTGGCAATTAGTGGCGTATCGGGATGGCACGGCCATATCGGGATTCTTGTGATACTACGTGACTGTATCAAGTCAGTGCGGCAGCCACCGCCGTTTTCTGCGGGTAGGGACAGGATCTGAATCTTTGTACATGAAACGAAAGAACACCATCGTGTTGCCGCGCTGTCTTTGAGTGAAAACCCCAGTACTAGAAGGACGCCAAAAAAAACAGACCCTGTAGACCCTAAATCCAAGGGACAGATCCTAAGTTGTGGCAAAACCCTCCAAACGCTGACCAGGGCGTCCCTTCAGCTCCTACGCCTCAGCGGCCGAGGGTGGTCCAGTCCGGGGACGCAGCTAAGGGTTTTTCGGGTATGTCCGGTGACCAGCTAAGTAAATGTGTTTGACTGCAGATTCTGCAGATACGAGCCTTTTTGGCGCAGCATCTGTTTGTTGGTGGCTTGCAGTGCTTCGCGGCTTCGGGATACTTGGCAGGCAGAGCTTGCAGGTTGGTTGGGGCAGCTCCTGAAGCTTCCCCCTGCGGTCCCTGGTATCGTCATACTATGATTTTCTCCAAAATACTTGAAGACCTAATCAAGTTATTAACCCTCTATTTCCACATCGGCCCGATCTGATAGGACAGCACACTCGCCCACCTTAAGGTTCCATGTCACTTTCAATGAGGGCTCCCTCACCCGAAGAACGTGCGAGGGTATAGGGCAGGGTTTAGGGCTTGGGGGGCTGAAGCTCTAAAACTTGAAGCGGTTTCGGGCTTCAGGATTCGATCATGCAAGGAGTCTGCCTGCGACTTCTAACAGCTTCATGCGGCAAGGATACTTGCGTAGCCCCGACACAGAACCCCTGGCAAGGTGATAAAGCCTGGATGTTACAACCCCAGCAGCGGAGAGAGAGGGAATCACCCCCAAGAAGGTCACAGCTAAAGGTGGCAATAAATCCGAAACCATCCTAACCCCCTTAAAAACCGATGAAGGCACCCCAAAATCCCACAAACCCTCAATTCAAACAATGATAAATCCGTCAAAGCTAACCCGAATCGATTACCCCTAAAGCCTAAATCCGTAAGCCTTTAAACTGCCCCAAAACCTAGACCCATAAAGTTTTTAAACCATCCTAAGCCCCCTAAAAACTCCTGAACCCCTAAAAACCTTAAACTGATAAACCCCAAAAAGCCGAAAGGTCCTGGACTTCTGCTTCTTTCCGAGTTTCAACTCGCCGGCATCTGAGCAAAGGGCTGGGTAAAATTGGTTAACATCTAAGGCTCCTGAAAAATGATAACCCATAGGGTTACTATTGGGGCAACTGCTGTTATAAGGTGTTATATATATATATACATGCTTGTATTACCAGTTAATTACCACAATAGAATTTCTACTATAAATGCCATGATGGGGATGGTTTCTTGGAGCTTAATTCCGTACTGGTAGTGTGTCTGGAGCCTCTGTGTAAGATTCCTGACAAGGTAAACTGTTACCACTTTAGGTTACTACAAGGTGACTACTCGGCTCACACAATTTTACTGAAGAGTTCAACAGGGTTTTGGGATGTGCTATAGATCAAAGTGATATGAAGGATAACAGAGGAGGTGTTACTAATTGTCCGGGATTGTTCGGGATGCTTAAATGGCCCCCCCTCTTTCCAAAGCGTTCGCGTGTCTTCAGACATCCCTCACCACGACGTCAAGGAAATTACAGCCAAGCATGTCCACATTGATATAGGTTTGAAGGTTCGGTGGGCGCCTGAGGGTGTAGGAAGCAGAATTCAGCGTGTGCAGTGAGCACGTGTAGGGCCTCGGTGGTAAGCTTGGATCTGGGACGACTCTGTCAGTCCTAAACTCAAACCCGCTACATATGCAGCGGCCTGATTCAGAAACTCTGGCCCATAACCCCGCAATATCGTGTTCAGGTTAGAAAGGAAACAGCGTTTGGAGACCGCAGGCTTCTTAAGCAGGCTCCTATCTTAGACCCGTAGTCTGAACCTGAGCCGTGCATAAATCAACGAAGCTTCTGCCCCAGAGACGAAAGCCCAGCGACAAGGGGTGTGAGCACAATTTCAGTCAGACAGAATGTTTGGGGTTTAGGGAGTTGAGGGATTTTGGGGTTTTGGCCGAAAATCTAAAGGATAGCGAAAGCCCGAAGCAAGACACGGATGAAGAAGAGAAATCCTGCAAGGGAATTCCCTGCTTCCTGCTGCTTCATCACAAGCAGTCAGGCTCCGCGCTCGCCTCCCTATCGCTCATAAGGGTGTTCTAAGACCTTTGTGGCGGGGTTTCACGATGAGGCATTGCTTTGGTGTAGGGGGTGCTTATGGAAAGGGTTTGAGGCTGTAGCAAAGAGCCAGTGTTCTTCCACGAGGATTTTGGGTTTGAAGGAAGAGGTTTTGGAATCACAACTGAAACTATTCAGGGCGCGTCTTCATGGAGGATTCCATATTCAGGTTTCAGGCCATGGGGGTTCTGTCCTCAGAGCGGCGGAGTAAGTTTCGAGAGTCAGGGATCGGGGTACCTGATACCTGAGGACGAGATTCGAAAGAAGCCCAAAAAGGTTTTTTTGCTCGGTTCATGTCCGGTATTGGTTTTGTACAGCATGCGGAAGGTGCGGATCCTGTTCGTTTTGAGGGTCTTTGGGTCCAGAAGCTAGCAAGTGCAGTTTGGGTGGCAGGACTTGGGATGTCTGTGCGGTCTAGTACTTGGGTTCTAGATGGCAGTGGGCAGTTTATTATCATTAGCTTCTAGGATCGCTAGGGGAAGCTAAAGCCAATATTGAGCAATTGGGGGTTTCGAGCATAGAGTGTAGCGGCAAGGTTTCGGGGTTTGGGGCTTGAGGATTACGGAAAGGACTGGCGATGGAAGCTTGTGGTGAGCAGCTGTTCGAGATGCTCCCTGAAGTCCTCTGTCCTGAGAGAGTAAAGATGCCATCAAGCCCACGTGCTGGAACTCCTTGCCAAGCTGACTGCAGACTCCGATCAACTTGCTTCAGTTCAGCACCTGGTGCACGAAAGCGACAGCACGGACTGTCTGCAAGAAGCGCAGCTCCTCTTTCCTGGAATGTCACTCATGTACAATCGCCTACAATACTGCCTGCGTTACATGCGGACTTGGAGTGTTGTCCCAGGCCCTAGGCTGCCAATCCTCAACTCCCAAGGCTCGGTGAAAGAAGCCCTCAAAGCTGGAAACCCCAATTCTACCAAAGCTTACGCAACATGAAGCCATGACCCTTTGAAGTTTAGGGCATAGGGTGTAAAGGGAATTTGCCCGATAGCTCTAGGACGGCGTTTTGGGCCCATACGTAAACCCCAAGAGCAGGATCATCCGATCCACCTGCGGGACGCCTTGACGGGCGCACTTCGCAATACCTACCGACCCTTCAACCATGTAGACGAGGCTCGCTTGGGTTCAGGATACAGGGTTTGGGACTTTAGGATTTCAGGTTTGTGGCATGGAGTTCTGTGTTCAGAGCCAGTGTCGGATCTTCACCGAGGCTTTTCAAATCTCGCAGCGGGATTGTGCAGATTCCGAACTCTAGCTGCCAGGGCCCAACCCAACCCATGCTTGAACACAGCCAGGCCTGGGGTTCTGCAGAGTGATAGATCTTCCGATGCTTGGTGTGAAGTCACAGCGAGCCACTCATGTACAACCCGGCGATGCTGTGGCTCAAGGCGACAAAAAGCAGTGAAGCAGAGCGCTTGCGTGAGATTAGCATGGCCTCTGCGCATGATGACACAACCCTGGATGCTCTGCCTGTTGCCTACCAGCAACAGGTCATGAGCCCAAGTGGCGAGCCCACTGCGCGGCGACAGACGCCGCCGGAAGCCCCGAGGGGAATGCTGAACGGCATCGGAGAAAGCGGAAGAGGACTACCTCGGGCAGGCGGTGATGACGCATACGCACAAGCCTTAGCTGGCACCGGACCCGGCGCGACGAGCGGTGGTGTTAGCGAACCGGCTGGAGAAGTGCGGCAGACAGGTGGAACACCCGGGGATATACAGAGTGGAGTGGCGAGCGCTGTGCAAGACAGACCTTTGTTACCTCACGCGGCTATGGGGAATGTTTCAGTACCTACTACGCATGAGACAAGGGCAGCAGTTACGGCGACATCGTTATTCCCTTCGCCGTTCCCGTCACCGTTAGCTACAAGTGGACCTGCTGGATCGCCAATGGATGTGGCGACACCTGGACAGGGGAATAGCTTGGCTCAGCATGGGGCGGCAGCAATTCGATGGTTTTCCAAACTGGGAGATTATATGCAGCGACGATCAACTACGGTTTCAAGAACCCAACCTGGTTTGGAAACTACGGTGGTGCAACAGGAGACGGTGTGGTCTCCAGGAGGACATAGGCCTGCTGATTCGGCGGGCGATCCTCTTTTTTCGGGCGCTCAAGTTCAGCGCATGAGAGAAATGGCTGCAGCGGCACCTCAGCTTTACGGGACGTCCGGAGGAGGTGGAACTTCATCGGACGCTTCAGGTTCCTACTCCAAGGATCAGCTGGAAGCAGAAGTGAGACGACAGGTGCAAGCGGCTTTGAGTGGGCAGCGAGGTTTGGCAGAGGAAAATCAGTTGCTTCGCCAGGAAGTCGAGAGGTTGAGAAGGACCACTACGGCAGCTGGGAGTACTGAGGCTCTGGCCAATGCGCAAGAATGTCAGGCACCTCCAGGACTGGATAGGGGGAGTTATGAGGTTGGGAGGCTACCAGAAGGCAATCCAGCAGGACTTCCTCTACAAGGTCGTGAGCAAGGGGGCGTTCAAGGGTTCACGGGTCATGATGGAGTACCAAGAGGCAATCCTTGGGGACTATCGGGACATGATGAAGGGCTTCGGGATGAAGGTTATCCAGGCCAACATGGAGTTCGCGATGGTAATCTGCAGGGACCTCAAGGGCATGATCGTGAGCAAGTGACCCTAGGAAGTGAGGGGATGTTTGGAGCGGCACATGCAAACCTCTTTACTGGAAGGCTACCAGGAGGCAATCCACCAGGACTTCCTGTACAAGGTCGTGAGCAAGGGGGTCGTGTGCGGTTTTGTGAAGAGGGAGTAAGTCAGAGAGATCCTGCTGAAGTACCGGTTCCAGGTCAACAGCTTCGGGGTGATGGTCGTTCCAATAGGGATGAGTTACCAGGAGGCAATCCAGCAGGACTTCCAGTACAAGGTCGTGAGCAAGGGGGCGTTCTTCGTAATTTTATGCAGTATGCGACGGGCATCTCTGGGTCCAATAATACAGCCGAGCAGTATGCGACGGGCATCTCTGGGAAGACGTGGAATCCTTTGGGACTCGGAGGAAGCAGGTCGGCAACGGAGCCGTCAAGTGGAGCAGGGGCCGCAAAGCCCAATGCGGCAGAATCGAAGCCTACGAGTTCCATGGATGCACTGGTACAAGGGATGACGCAGTTGCAGGCTGCAATGGCTATGCAAATGGGCCTACAGGCGGCGAAGCCTGAGCAGATCCGCCCTGGAGCCGCAGAGCTGCCAAGGCTCCATGAGGCGGACGAGATGGCAGCGATCAATGTGGGAGATTGGCTGCACGGGCTAAGCGGGCCCATGGGAGACCTTACAGATGGAAGTGCCCAGTGGTGGTCCAATGTTCTGGAAAGCTTGAATGCCTACTACCAGGACTATGTGGGCACAAGTGCAGTGAGAAAGCTGCAACTGAAGGCAGACGACTACGCGGTGGGCCTCCTACGTGACAACAAGTGGGTGCGAGTGGACAAGCGGGCGGCTTCAATGCTACTTCAGGCGGTACCGGAAGGCATAAGGGCGGAAGTGCTTGCGAACCGGCTGCAAAGTACATTGTCCATTCTGGCGAGGATCATGACGATCTACCGGCCAGGATCGGCAGCGGAAAGGCAGCAGGTGCTGAGGGCGCTCGAGATGCCGGCGGTGGCGAACAGTCCTATGGAGTTGGTGGAGGCGCTGAGAAAATGGGCCAGATGGCTTAAGCGGGCTCAGGATTTGGGTCTTCAGGTGCCAGACGCATCAATCCTTCTACGTGGGCTAGACAATGCGTCGAAGCTACAGTTGGAAAGGCATGGAGAGGTGATGTTCCGCACAAACATGCTGAGGTTTGGGTTGGAGCTGGACTCATCGCCTACGGTGGCTTCGGTGGAGAAACTGCATCACCACTTGTTAGCCGAGTTTGAGCAGTTAGCTTACCGTGGTCGAGGAAAAGGGGGAACTACCTCATCTACTCCAACTTTGAAGCCTATGACAACTACGGACCCTTATGGACCCAACACGCCAAAAGGGGGAACTTCACCTACCTCGATGCCGGGACCTAAGCCATGCAAGTTCTATGCCTCTGAAGCTGGTTGCCAACGACCTCAATGTAGGTTCCAGCATGATTGGAACTCCTTCTCTCGAGAAGATCGGAGCGATCGATGCAAAGGTTGTGGAGGTCGGGGCCATATGAAGAAGAACTGTCCTATGAAAACTAGCGACAGCTCAGCAAAGGGCGATGAGGGGAAGGGCAAACCTCAACCCAAGGTCCGGGCTGCAAGTTCCGCTACCACAAACCGACAGTCTGAAGGAAAACGAGATGATGGCACCCTACCTGCAGGTGATCCCGCGTCGTCTTCCTCGGCTTCTACTTCGGCGTCAGCAAGTATGGACTCCAATGCTACAACGACACAGGCTCCCACGTCGTCTGCTCAGGAAATGGATGAGTTCCTTCGCAATGCAACTCAGGTTCTGAAGATGATGACGGATAAGCAGGGTGGCTTTGATGGTGGCGGCGGTGGTCCTTCAATGAAGATGCTAAAGAAGGCTGTGAAGGAGTACGAGGAAAAGATGGCCTTGTTGGATTCGGGAGCGACGCATCCGTTGAGAGCGGCGTCGGGTCCAGAGTGGGATACGTCGGAGGAAGTGGATGTGGTCGTGGCTGGAGATGGAGTGAAGCGCATGAAGCAGAACCCCGCGGGAACGCTATTGATGGAGCCTTCGCCTAAAAAGACGCAGACCATCATTCCCATGGGCAGCCTGATCTCACTGCTGGGGTACGAGGTCACATGGACACGACGTCGGTGTCTACTACGAACGCCGGAAGGCGAGGAGATAAGCCTCAAGGTGTCAGCAGGGTGTCCGGAGCTGAGCGAAACGATGGCGTTGGAGTTGATCTCGAAGATCGAAGCTGAGAAGCTGGAGCGGCTCCGGAGGAATATCGCAGACGCAGAGCTAGCGAGTCGTCGGGCACAGTTGGTGGAAGTATCTACTCTGTGGGAGCGCAGCTTGAGGTCCTATGTGCAACAGGGCAAGTTCGAGGATGGGTTTCGAGCGGTGGCCTCAATGCCTTGGTGTGAAGATCTACCACGAGAACATTTGGTTAAGTTGGTACGGGATCTACCTGCGCAAGATGGTCAAGCTTGGGAGCTGATGAAGAGCCTCGGTCTGAACCGGAGAATGCGGAAGCGACTGATGCACAAGGATTGGGTGTTGAAGCTGTTTAGCGGGAGGAGGAATACTTCGGATAAAATCTGCAGGTCGATCGAGACGAATCAGGCTGTAGTGCTCGACGTGGACCTCTTGAGAGATGCTATGCGGGATGTCTTAAAGGAGGGCGACGGGATCTACAAGCTGCTGCTTTGGGGAGCTTCTACCGGACGGGTTTCGGGGATTATATCGGGCCTTCCTAACACAATGTCCTATGAGCAGTCGTTGCGCCTGATGATGATCACGGAGGTTGCTAAGGAGGGGCGCAAGGCCATGTGTGAAGACGTGGATCTACCGAACGACGGTGTAGCCTTGGCAATATGGGCCTCCGCCGACTCAGAAGAAGATCCCAGCTCTAAGCCCTTCGGCAAAACGTGGTTCAAGCGGTGGTCCAGAGATGGATGGCTAAACGTTCTACATTTCGAACAGGGTGGACTGGGGCATCCTTTGAGGAGACCCACAACGATGGTCACCAACATGGACATTGCAGAGCTACGGGGAGTTCGTGATGAACGAAAGGAGGAGGCGGAGTGGGGATCTCGATCTACGTGGGCGCCAATGATGATGCACGCTCTAGTTCAAGGATGGAAGAGATGGAGGTCGCGAACAGGATGGTACCCCAGAATGGTTAAGGCTCTGAAAGCAGCGGACAGGAGGGCCTGGGAGCGGCACTTAGCCAACGATCATGTACCTCATCGGCCTGATTGTCTTCAATGTGTTCACAACTCTACGGGAAGACCCCACCGACGGTGCCTACACAAGGACTGCTATGTGCTGAGCGCGGACACTCTTGGACCAGTGCGTGTTCCGGGACCAAAGGGAGAGAAGTTCGCAGTGGTGTTCACCTATCAGTTCCCAAAGCAGAAGATGAGCCAGGACGACGAGATCATCAAGGAGGAGGATCTGGATGGGTGGGACCTGGACGCTAAGGTGGTGACCGCTGAGGAGAAGGAGGCGGTTCCTGAAGATGATGAGCTGGCGGACTACAGTCCTGATGCGGAGCCGGGTGAAGAATTAACCAAGGAGCAGTTTGTGAACTTCCTCTACTACCACCCTCCGAAGAGGAAGGAGCCACGTTGCCTACCGAAGGGGCGACCAAGGCGAGTGGTGACTGGTGGGAATTTCGGGAATCAGAGGGGCTAGTTGTGAGACATCATGTACTACCACGAACGACACTTTTCCGACCTACTACCACCAATGGATGCCCGATTCCAACGTTCAAGCTCGAGCCCACGAGGATCACTGACATCAAGTATGTGGGCGGTGGCGTCGAGACCGAGACCTCGGATTGGCATGGTCCAAAGTCAGGGGCGCGGGTCCTGGAGAAAAGATGGACGGGAACTACGCGGTTCCGAGTGTCTACGGCGGAGATCATCGAGGATGAGGAGGAGCTTCAGCGGGACGAAAGTGCGTGGGAGCAGCTCATCGGGGACTTGGCGAGGCCAATGGAGACGGAGACGATCTACATGGTGTACCCCATACGGGCGCGCCGGGGAGGTGAAGTGATGATAGCAGTTCAAGAGGCCGTCCTGAGACTGAAGCTCATGGGACTTCCAGTAGCTCGACTTCATTCAGATCGTGGTTCAGAGTTTGCGTCGAAAGGACTACGAAAATGGCTACTCGATCGGGATATTTTCCATACTCGGTCGGAAGCTTTGGTTCCTCAAACTAATGGTTTTGCAGAACGGGCAGTGCGCTGGTTCAAGACAAGAGCGAAAACGTTGCTGGCGGAGGCAGGAGTTCACCTGAAGTACTGGACGTTCGCTATGCAACATGCAGCAAACCGAAGAGTACATGAGAGGCTGGGCATAACCAAACCTCGGCTACTTACGTTCGGCGAGAGGGTGATGATTCGGAAGAAGGTGTTCGGCAACAACAAAAAGTACGACCTCACCGATCGCTGGGAGCAGGGAATCTATTTGGGTCTCTCGGACACTATCAAAGGAGGAGCGATTGTTCTGAGACCCTCGGGAATCATTACTGAGACCCTGAACCTGCGAGCAGAAGTGGTGGACCCACATGTACTTCTGAGGGAAGCTGCGGTAGAAGAAGAAGGAGCCGGAGAGCAAGAGAAGCCTATAGTAGATCTACCTGAACCTGATCATCGTCTAAAAGGTAAGCAACCACCACCAGGACTACGAGCACTCTCTGTTCAAGAACAAGAAGGTGAAGGTTGGGTCGTGGTATCGCAGCTGGAGATTCAGGAACAACAGGCGAAGCAGGTGTATGAGCAGGGCAAGTTCGATGTGGATTCGTGTGCACGTGTTCTACAGGAGTTGAAGATCTCAAGCAAGATGAGGACCCAGATCCGAGGAGAAGGTGTTGAGACTATGGTTCTTGGCGGCTACGTTCATGGAGGCCTTCGCGGAGCATCCAAGGAGTCACGGCGGAGACCGTGGTTGACGAGATACCTAAACATGGTGATGCAGCAGAAGGTCAGCGAGGACCTGAATGAGCGGGGAAGCTGGACTTCGATAGGTGTGTTCAAGGCCAAGGACGTGCCACCCCATCGGGATATGCGCAACCAAACCAAGTCGATGAATTATGTAATGCAAGTGAGAGCCGAAGATCAAGCTTGGCTTTGGGTCGAAGGCGGGCTATGTGAACAACCTCAGGCACAACCACGTGACCAATGTTTACCAGATGGAACTGTGTTGCAAGGGGGTGTCGTGAGTATCAAGGATAAAATGGTGAAGTTTGATCCCCGAGAACGACACGCATATGTTTCGGACGGAGGAGATCGATGGTTGTTGGCGGGGTTCACACCCCTCGGTGTCGACAAACTTCCGGCTGACTCGAAGGCTTATCTGGCGTTGTGCGGGTTTCCTTTGGAGGGTACCGGTGTGGAGTGGGCGGTGGACGCCGAAGATGACGAGGCCTTGCACCGCATGTTCATAGAGGACAGCGACCTGGAGGATGAAGAGGAAGAGGTTGAAGTGGAGCAAAAGGCTCGGAGAGTACGGTGTCTATTACAACAGGAGTGCGAGCTCGAAGAGGAGTCCGGGGGCGACGCCGTATGGAGGAATCAACTTCAGGAGGAGTTGGAGTGGAGCCAACAACGGCTGGAGTCTGAGACGGCGAGAGCTATGAAGATTTCTCCTACCGAGGCGAAGGACTTCGAAGTGGAGAGGTTATTGGAGTCGCTACAGGTTCCTCTGGAAGTTGTGCACAATGTAAGCTTACCGGAAGTCAAACGGTACATTGATCGCTGGAAGGAAGCGATTATCAAGGAAGTCAAGGCACTGGTCGAGTCGGGCACGGTTCGTCGACTATCACCTGAACAATTTCGCGAGCTGAAGAAGGCGGGCATGACGGTGCTGCCGGGCAAGGCCGTATTTACAGCGAAACCGCCGGTGGAGTCGTCTGGCAAGGAGCGCTTTAGGCGCAAATGCCGGATAGTGGTTTGCGGCAACTACTTGGCGGATCAGCCCATCAATGTCTTTGCGAGTGGCACCTCAGCAGACTCACTCAGGACTGCGGTAGCCATTGCAGTTCACATGGGATGGACTGTGGGGTGCACAGATGTGTCCAACGCCTTCACGTTGGCCCCAAGGCCGGGCGATCGTTTGTATCGGGCTGACCGCCCCTACGGTTGTCATTATGGCTGGTGGTGCTCAAAGTGGGGAGGTGTGGCTCATAGAAAGAGTGTTGTACGGTCTGAGGGAAGCTCCGAGACTTTGGGGTTTGTTCAGGAATGAGAGACTGTCTTCGGCACACATCGACTACAACGGACAGGTGATCTTGCTTGAGTGCTTAGAGACTGAGGAGAACATGTGGAAGATCCTGTCCGAGAATGACCCAGGCCTCCAAGGGCTGATGTTGGTGTACGTCGACGATATCTTGATATTATCCTCGCGGGGCATTGTGGAGGCGTTGTACGATTGGTTGGTTTCGGAGTGGAAGTGCTCAGCTCTGGAATGGTTGGCCAATGGATACATCCGGTTTTTGGGTGTGGAACTACGAGGTTATGAGAAGGGCATTCATCTTTCTCAGTCGGGCTATGTGAGAGATATCTTACGTCAACATGGAGTAGAAGAAGTTGAAGGCCCGGTGACCGTACCATGCACGCGGGAGTGGTTGCAGGACGACTCTGATGAGGAGGTGGAAAAGCCGGAAGAGTATATGATCAAGACGGCCCAGAAGCTGACAGGTGAGGCCCTTTGGCTTTCAACCAGATCGCGACCAGAGCTGTCGCACTCTGTAGCTTGTATGGCATCGAGAGCTTCGAGAAACCCTCAGAAGGCTATCCAGATCGGGAAGAAGATTCTACAGTTCTTGGCGAGGACAGCAGATCATGGACTGTGGTTTGAGAAAGACGAGTCACAGCCTTTGTTGGTGACCTACTCGGATGCTAGCTACGCGCCAGGAGGAGGAAGAAGCTTTGGATGTATTTTGGTTCAGTTGTCAGGGATGATAGTGACTTGGAGGGCTTCGAAACAACCAGTCATTACTCTCAGCGTTGCCGAAGCAGAGTTGTATGAGGGCGTCTCAGCAGTTCAAATGGCGATGGGAGTTACGGCGATGTTGGGCGAGCTTGGATATGACCCGGTGATCTACCTGCGTATTGACAATATGGCAGCAAAGGGGTTGGCCTCAGAGAGCCCGGGATCATGGAAAACACGTCACTTACGAATCCGAGCAAGGTTCCTACGTCAAGAAACCAATGCGAACCGGTTGGTTATCGAGCATTGCCCGGGACAGCTCCAGAAGGCGGACATCGGCACGAAGGCCTTTGATGCCCCGAAGTTTCGAGAGTTGTTGCAGCTCTGGAACATTATGGCATGGACCTCGATGGAGGCTTCAAATACAGCGGTGAAAACACTACGAACGTTGAGCAGGCCTAAGGTGATGCTGTTCATTATATATGGTGTGCATAGTGATGATAAAGGGCGCAGCTGGCGAGGAGGATGTTAAGCAGGAGCTTCAGTTGGATGGGTCTATAGAGTTCTACCTTATGTTCGTTGTGTGTATGATTGCAACGTTGGCGGTTTGGGAGCTTGGAAAGGCCATCCTGAGGAAGTTCAAGAATTGCATTGATCGCTGGCAACGACAAAGGAAAAAACAAGCACGCTTACAGCAAAGAACCAAAGATGCAGTGGAGCGAGAACTCCAGAGACAGGCGGCGGCGAGTCCAACAACAATGCGGGATGAAGGACCCTGTGGACTTCGAGATGAAACTGAAGGAGTGAGATGGAGGGCGTCAAGGACAGCAACAACACCTACGAGGACGCAGCCATCTTCATCGACAGCAATAACTACGAGATCAACATCTACGCAAACAGATGTGGAGTACAGGGGGCCCCAGTGGATCGACGCAAGGCGGCTAGAGGGTTTCAATGGCCCTTTCTACGCAACACCAAATGGAGACTGCATTCATACGATCGCAGGATGTCATGGGCAACGGAACTCGACGGGTCGAGCGAAGACCTATCGACTGTGCATGTACTGTGACAGAGATCTCCCACTCATGTTAGTGGGTCCGCCTCGAGGCTGAAAGAGCCACGAAGCGAGGAGGAGTGCAGAGTGATAGATCTTCCGATGCTTGGTGTGAAGTCACAGCGAGCCACTCATGTACAACCCGGCGATGCTGTGGCTCAAGGCGACAAAAAGCAGTGAAGCAGAGCGCTTGCGTGAGATTAGCATGGCCTCTGCGCATGATGACACAACCCTGGATGCTCTGCCTGTTGCCTACCAGCAACAGGTTCAGGCTTTTGTGTTAGTTCAGGCACCTTAGACAAGTAATGGTAGAAGACCATTCTGGTGGTAAGCATGATTGGGGTTGGTACCCCCCCCTTCCTTTTGAGGGCACAGGGGCACATGATGTAGCAAATAAATGACAGCTAGTGAATTCCCAACCCCAAACCCGAAACCCCAAACCCTAAAACGTAATCTGAGGAGTTAGGAGGCATCAAAGGCCAAGGCCGCAACTGTGAACTGCCGCTTCAGTTAGTTTGGGTCTTACCCCAGCTGCGGCTAGCTTCTGTTCTGCTCGCAACGCCCAAGTTGCCTGAACCGAGCGAAAGACATCCGACGCCATGGTCCAAAAAGCCACGCGCAGGTCTGCCACGCAAGCAGCATCCGAGCTGCACCTTAAGGCTTTTGCATAGGCTGGTCCTCAGAGTTTGACCACCATGGGTCTAGGCTACGGCTTTGGGTTTAAGGGTTTATGTGCCTTCTACAGCTCAGTTGTGGAGTGCGGGGCGCGTTCCTGTAAGGCTACAAGTTTCAATTTTGTAGGACCGATGTACAGTTCATGCGAGGTTTTAGAACCTAAACCCTATACCCTATCATCTATACGTATGATTCGGCTTAATGCAAGTTGCCTCTGGTGTGCTGGCAGTACCCTAGACCCTAGTACTACTGGGTAGTAGATGTCTGAATAACTAGCTGTAGCAAGCCCAACTACATACACGTTAGTTTAGGGTTTGTTGTTCAACAGTTTTTTGGCTACTTACGGAATACCCCGGATGCTTGAGCCGCGCACCTCTCCACGCCCTGTGTCGTCGAGGCCTTTGCTTCTCACCGGACGGCAGCGACTCGGAACGCAATTCCTGAATCAACGGGGCCCAGGTACTCAGCTTTGTTTCTATACCTAATGTCCAGATGGTGTGTGTGCGTGTGTGCGTGTCAGTAAATACATGTGCTTGTGTGTATGTGTGTATGTAAGTAGGTCGGCCTGTATGTAGGTATGCATATGTATGCAGGTACGTGTATGTGCGAGTGTTGGTAGTGTTTAAATGCCAAGAATAGGGCTTTACGATGTCTCTATGCCAGTTTGTTCCCTGGACGCAAGACAGGCACAGGTGCTGAGCAGGTTTTGTTTAAGCTGAGCCCCGGACTGAGCCCAAACCCGAGGAGAGTAGCAACGTAGGCTAGGAAGTATATGATTAAGGTATCTGGCATAGTCTACAAGCCCGAAAAACTAAACCCTGAAGCTCAGAAACTCTGCTCTCCTTTACCTAAGGGTTTCAGGTACTAGTACTTGTAAGTAACTGGCTCCCTTCGAAGATTTTACAAAAGAGGAGGGGTTCGGCAGGTATAGACCCTGATCCCGAAGTGCTGACTCTGCAAAACACAAGGTAAGATCGTCGCCGGCTTTCCGCTCTACTTGCGTGCCCTCCGGCTTGGTCTTGGCTGCATACAGGCATCAAAGAGTATCGCCCTTCAGGATCTATGCGCTAATATAGTATGTACTTTGGCCAAAAAGTTCCTACATGGAGACTACAATACAGCCAAAGTAAAGCATCTTCTGTGTAATGCTACAAGGACCCGTTAGGCTGGGTTTGGGAGTTTTGAGTTGAGGGTTCCATGGTTTTAGCTTGTCGCTCAACACCCTATAGCCAAAACCCTACACCCTTAACTTATCGGGCTTTGGTCCGGGCCTCTAGGGGCTAAATGCACTAGGTCATGTATCGGGGGTTCCGGTTTCTGTTGTCCGCTATTCCGAGTTGTCTTAGTTTTTGTTATAGTCAAGCTTCAAGGCCTTTTGGAAAGTAGTAGTGTTATTTTGGTGCAAAGGGCGCTGAGTGTTGCACCCAGACCTTCAACCCCAGACACTCAGTTACGCCCGGGCCCTCAACCTTGAAGCCCTAAAGTCTCTTTGGCCTCAGGCTCGGTACCAGCAAGTGTTCCTGCACTGGTACCGTGGGTGTATTCTAAATAAGCTCACGATAAGTGGTGCTGCTATGATGAGAACGGTACTATGGCTTTTGGAGCTTACGACGGTTTAGCTGTTGGGGTTTGGGTATAGGGTTACATGGTTCAAGCCCGTAGCTTGGCTCGCCTGGTGGGTCATGGATGATCCGACGAGCATGCGGCAATGCATTCTCTCGTTTTCGTAGTCGACGCGGCGATGCTGGCCTATGTGCCCGACGAGGACCAAGGCATCGGTGTCGGCAATCCACGCAGAAGGACTTGATGAGGGCAAACTCGAGACTCACAAGATTGCAAAAGTCAGCAACTGGGTGTCAGGACGGGTCGCAAGATCGAGGTTGAGGTAGCAGAAGAAATCCAAGAGGCCATCAGGGCCATCAGGCTCATGCACGTGGGACATCGGCACTCACTGGGATGCAATGTCAGTTGGACGGGATTGATCGGTCTCAGCATCCAAACTAGGTGAGAAGTGCTTGATCCAGCTGCTGGCACTTTTGCCACATTCGCACGCAGGACTTAAGGAAACCCCCCGTGAGCGAGCGGGGGGCTCCGCGGAGCACCAAGGCGCTTCACAGTACAGGGTCCAGAGCACTGCGCCTTCGATTTCTTCAGACATTCGTCCGGTGGTTCACACTTACGTAAGTGTCCGCGCTTTAAGAAATTCTTCCTTTCACTATGTTGGGCCCACTACTTTGGCTCTGCTCGCATATAGTGGTTCGTGCATGTTTTTCTCGCCGAGGCCTCTTTTCTACGAAATACATTTGCAACTTGAAGAACATCTTTCAAGCTTGTGGCACACCGCAGGATTACCCCATTGAGTGGCATTTTCAGGCTTTTACCCCAAACCCTAAACTGGAAACACAAAGACCTTAAAACCCGAACACCGAGTACCCTTAAGAATAGCCTTAGTAGCCTTCAAAGGAACCCTAAATCCTTAGCCCGGGCCCCAAGGTGTTCGACCTCCAGCGCCCTGGCCGGCAGGTCGAGGAGACTTTACCCGAGTTGCGAGTTGGGGGATTCGGGTTTGGGGTTTTGGAATCGCTTTAAAGCTTGAAGTGTAGGATAAAGACCGGTACTATGGTCTTAGAATGCTTTAGACTATTGCCTGAGTTCGGGCAATTTAATTTAGGTTTCTCATGATCCGTGGCTTGGGGTTCGGGTTTACGGTTTCGCGTTTAGGGCTTTGGGTCCTCTGGTATAGGTGTTTCAGGGTTTTCCAAGGGTTCTAAATCGGCGATACTGGAGAGCTCTAAGAGCAAAGTACGTTCTTGTCAGTGCTGTTACACGGGATGTCTAAAGACTGTATGATGCTTGTTCGACAGGTTGCAAAAGGATTCAAAAGCCTGCGGGCCGTGACATAGAGGAGATCGGAACACTATCTAAGGGTGTCCCCTTGTGGTCCTGGGCGAAATACACGATCAACCAACCCCCAGACCCTATATATTGATTCTTAGCGCTCCCGGGTAATGCACTCATTGCCCCTCAAACCAGGCAGCTGTGGCAATACGGTGTGCGCGGATAAGTGCTGTGCAGGAGCTTTCTCAAAGCTTTTTGTCGGCGCTGGAACTGCAAGCCCAATCACCAAGTTGCACGGTCTTTTCCTGCTGATTATACATGTGCTAGCACGATGACACCCACCCTCGCCGATTGTTTGTTCTCAGCCTTTTCAAGCTTCTCTGCAGCCATCCGCCACCACATCGTGTGTAATTAGCTGCGTTGCGAGTGGAGCAACCTTTATTTGCGAAGCTCTCCTGCAAGCGTCTCGTGCTGAAAGTGGGTTATCACACCCGCCACCAGCTTCCAACACAATGTCAACGGTAATGAAGACCGCGAATGAAGAACATCGCTTCAAGTTTGAATCATGGACTGAGGGGCTGAACAAGGGTTCCTGCATCATGGTGTTCGAAGAAAGGGCGTTCGAGTGATCAGAGGTCGAGGTTTCAAGCTTGCTCCTGAAACCCTTCGACCCATCCACGGAGGACTGGCTGCTCAGCACTAAGAAGGGCAAAGGCCAGAAAGGCCTCTCGTCGCCTCGAAGCGGTTTCGGGGTGCGGATGGAGCATGCTCTGAGCTAAATTAAAAATTCAAGCTAAGCTTAGGGCTTTCCGGGACGTAAAGCCTACAACCGCAAAATCTTAAACCCTAAGCTTTCAGTCCTACTCCCCGCAAGCAGCAACTCTTGAACCGTTAGGGTTCTAATCGTACCCCACTGGGTCCAAGTGCCTAACAGGTCTGGGTAGCCGAGATAGATAACCTGTATC